TCTGATAATTAGGCATTCAGACTTGATGGCATTTAATGGCTGAGCACAGAAAAAGGATTTTCTGGAGCTCATAGGAGGGCATTTAGTAGCTGATGACTGTTGGACAGTTGCCAGATTTTAAACTACCAAGAGAACAGCCATCCGCCAAATCCTCCAAATTCTGCATTTTGATTGGCTGGAACTTTGAAAGAGCAGCAAGATTCCAAACTCTGGGAGTGTTTCTTCCTGCTTGCTGAGACCATGTGTCTCCCGCGGGCAGGCACGGAACAGCTGCTGCACTGGCCAAGTCCCGAGGCCCCTCTGAAGGCACGGCTGTGATTCCCTAGGAGGTAGCAGGCGCATCTGCCCCACTCCAGGCTGGGCGCAGTGCTGCATTTGCAACGGCTCGCTCTTTTGCTCCATCCCTGCTTCTGCAGCAGCCCAGGCACGCGAGGCTATGGAGGAAGCAGTGGAGAAAGTCTGGCGCAAAAGCCAAACTGTCACTCTTGAGCAACATGGTCCATGGCAGGACTGAACGCCCAGCGGTTGGTCACTTCCCCCCCGCAATGACTCTGCAAGATGAGGGAACAGTGTCGAAAGAGTGTCTTGGTTAGGGCAGGACAACTGGTGGCAGATAAGTGGTACATCTGCTGTCTCCTCTCAGCAGCAAGAGGAATAAACACACAAGTCGATGTGACTGGCCGGGAGCAGATACTGCGGCGCTGCAGAAGGTGCCGATAAACAGACCTCTTTTGGTGACCCACACACACACACACACACACGGGAATTCTCATGGCATCAGACTTGGGTCCACCATACACACTTCTGCCCAGAAAGGCCTTCCAAAGCAGGGAGATCCCGTAGTTCTGAAGAACAATAGTTCTCCATACAGACAACAATTGGCCTCCTGTTATCATTGACTTTCAGTCCAGGGCAATATTCAGTTGGAACCAGGAAGGTCTGGGCTGGGATCACTGCTCCACCATGAAGCTCCTTGGTTGACTTTGGGCCAGTCACTGTGTCTTGGGTTAGCCTACCTTATTGGGGTGTTGTGAAGATAAAGGGGTATGTGCTGGCAAGGTAACCATCTCTTCTTTCAGGAACTTCCATTCCTCTTGAACTTCCTGTTAGGTTTTCAATGAAATACTACTTTTCATTGCTCTAAGTTTATCTGGATCAGCTTTCCTGAAGTCCAAGATACACAATGGACTACCTGCAGCTTTAATTTTCTTTCACATCAAGAACTCAAGCATTAAATGGTCACTTTTCCTCAAATTTCCTGCTGCTTTTGCCTCACCAACGAATTTGCCCTATTGGCCAGAATCAAGTCAGAAATGGCTGCCCCTTCCAGTTCTTCCTCCATTTTCTGAAGAAGGAAGTTATTGGCAAGGCAAGGCTTACCTGGAAAGACTATGTTGGAGGACTTTGTCCTCCAACAGATATTAGGAAAATAAAAGTCCCCCATTAGATATAAATAAAGTCCCCCTGATATATCTGCAATTTGCTTTTGGAAAGCGTCATCCACACCTTCTCTTGGGCTGGGTGGTCAATTCAGTAGTCGTCTCCAACAGTACAGATTTCTTTCCTTCCCCCATTTGGTTTTCAACCAGGTACTTTCAACAGGGCCACCAGGTTCACTCTCCTCCATCCGTGTGCAGCTGTGGAGTGTGTATCTCCTCCCCACTTTCTGTGGCTTCTGAGGGAATCGAGATCGTGAAAGATTTTGCATACCCTGGACTGAAAGACCAACCAACGAGTGCGTTTTCAGTCAACCAAGCCAGAACTTTCCCTAGAAGCAAAACTGACAAACCTGGAGCTGCTGTATTTTGGCTCCATCATGAGAAGGCAAGATCCCTGAAGAGGACAGTCTTGCTATGGAGGGGGAAGGAAGAAGAGGAGGAAGCCCACATAAGCGATCGATGGATTCTGCACAGGAAGCCTCGGCCTCAAGTTCCCACAAACTGAGCAGGGCTGTCAAGGGCAGGGCATTTTGGAGGGCTTCCATCTGCAGGGTTGCCATAAGGCAAAAATGGCTCCCTAGCAACATGTCCCTTGGTTGCCCAGTTCCAGTCATGGGAGTCATTCCACCGAGTTTCTCGCACATCCACTAAGTTATATGTACCTTCTTGAACCAGAAGTTCCTCCTCATCCTGCTGATGTCCTACCTCTGAGCACTAGCAGAAAGCCACAGAGGGCCACTAATGTTATACTCCGCTGACCTGCTGCACTTTTATGAAGAGCTTTACCACAGTCCACTCCAGCTGCTCTCAAAGTTCCTCGGGTATGTGAGACCTCATCTGTAGTCCCTGTCTCTGAGGTTTCATCTCCAGCCTCCAAAGTATTCTGTTTAAACCCCGCTGATCAAACTCACCATTCTTCCCATGACCACGTTCTTCCCAGTCTTCAGGAGGTGCAGTCCACCTCCGACACACAGACTTTCACCCAAATCATGTAAACCATATTCCCCAAACCCTGCTTTCTGTTGCTGCTTGGATCCTTAACTTTACCTTACAAAAGTCTGGACGCATTTTAGAAACAATGGCAGCCTGCTTCAGGGATTCAGTCAAGGGAGCTGGGCTGGAGAAGTCACAGGAGCTGACTTAGGAGCACTTCTTGCACAGCTATAATTTATGTTTGCTTTGCTTCCAGAGGCAGAACTGGTTCTTCCGTGTTTTGGCCTAAACTATTCCAAAAGCATGAAGAACGTTTTTTCGCTGCTCATTCCGCTTCAGCAAAGTGGGCACAATCTTTGTGGGTATCAAACCACCATGGGCTGATCGTGCCTGCCTTCACTCTGAGTCAGGTCTAATACGCACCCTAGTTCCCAGGATTAAAGCCAAAGGGGGCCCTCACCCAGGTCTCACATACACACAACCAAAAGAAAAAAGAAAAACGGCACTGATCTGAGCAAGGGAGCTGTAGGGTTTGCTTTATCAGTGGGCCTGTGGCAAAAATTCCTGGCTGCGCATACGCAGAATGAGAACTAAAGGTCCCAGGGCCCTTGTATGTGTAGAAGGCTTCTCAGATCAAGTTCCTGCAGCCATGAGCGTATAAGCTAGTTGGACGCGTGCAAAGAAGGAAAACAACTTGATTTTGCTGTTGAATCTTGACTCCAGAACTCTGAAGGAAGTTGACCAACCAGTCTGAAGACCACAGAGAAGAACTGCTGCATGTGTACAGCTTTAAGCAAGAGAGTATCGCTGGGAACAAGTTTGAGCAACACCAGAACAAAACATGTCACCTGTTCTTTCAGGAATGCATCAAGTATAAAATTTTGTCACTTACTTCCTGAGTGCCTAAAATCTGCCAGGCTTTCATCAAGCAGAAAAAGGGCAGAGCAAAGACCTGCAGGCCAGCAGTTGGGGGCAAAACAACACTGCTGCAGCCCTGCACAGGCACGAAATGCTTTCAGGGTCAGCCCAGGGCGGGTGCTGTGCTGAACCCGAGGCCCTGACCGTTGGCCGGGGTTTTCTTATCATGCTCCGCTCATCTGAGAGGCAACTGCAGCTTCGCAGTTGCTTTAAAGAAACAAGAGACACAAACTTACGGAGAGATGACAGGCCGTGTGACCACCAGCTGCAGCACTGCTCTTTGCTGTTGCTGCCATGCTGCGTTGCGTTGCGTTGTGCTGAGTTGCATTGTGTTGTGTTGCGAGCAAGAGACTGCTGCACTCTGGAGACAAGAATACTTGGGAGGCCTTCCTCTTCCCACTGGTACTGCCAAGGATGCCCCTGCCATTGGCTGCACATGGTTTGGGTTCCTTGCACTCCTTCCGACGCTGATCCCGTCTTTGACCTCATTGCCCCAACCAGCAGATTCGAATGAATTGGCATGATGGAGACGAGCGGCCTGCAGAGCGAGAGCGCTGCGAAAGCCGGGTCTAGAGCTCGTACCTGAGAGCTTGCATGACTGAATGCCACTCTCTGGCACCCAAGAGTAACATCCTCCATGCCTGTAACATCATGATGCCCTGCATTTTACCACTGGCAGGGCAGGGGAATGGATGCAAACTCCCAGGTCTGGGTGCGAATTAAATTCTGCAGGAGATGGCAGGTCGGGGTTGAGCCAGACAAGCAGCAGTTATTCCTGGCCGCAGAAACAAGAGGGAAGCACCAGTGAGCCTGGAGTGTCATGCCCCAGGAGTGCTCTGGGAATTCGATATTTGCACCTACTGATTTGAGATGCCTTGGTCCAAACTTCCTGAGCAACTATGTAAACCAGAACTCAGTAACCTGTGGACTTGCACATTTCCCAACTGTTCTAGCTCAGTTCTTGGATCAAAAAGCATAACAAAATGCATTTAAACATGCATATTCTGAGAGAAGAAGAGTTTTTCGATATGTACTTAAAGGCATCTTGCAAATGTTGGGGTGGAGCTCGCATGCTTGGTTTGAACTGATGTAAAAATGGAGCAGGACAGGTTTGTGGCAGAGCTGAATTTGTGGCTCCCTGGGTTGCCCATCCCCATAGGAATTCTTTTGCAGCTCTTTACAGAAAACTGGCCCCTTTGCATCACCGAATTTCTGCTGCTGTGCTTTCTGGGTAATGTGCATCTGGCCCTTCGTCCTGGCTGCAGGCAGCTGTCTTGCAACTTCCTTCATTCAGGATCTTGTCTGAAATTCTTGTAGAATTTCCCTTCTCTGATAGGCAACCCTGGTACTTACCTGTAATGGGTAAGACCTGTACCTTCCCAGCTTTTACAGGGTTGTTGGAGAATCAGACCTTTGCATCTCTTATTTCAGCTTGGGCCCAGGATCCCATTCGAGCCAATGAAGGTCCAGGAAACCATCTAGCATGTCCCCAGGAAGGCCTCACCCACAGTTTCCATGGGAAATCAACAAAAGGACATTCTAGGATTCATTCATCAAGTGGGGTGAAACATAGGAAGGGGCTGGCCCCAAAGCATCAGCTGAGGGACCATGGGGCACTTCGGTTTCCCTGCTCCAAGGTCAGAGATGGTGCTCCAGGCAGGAATGCTGTAGCTCCACCTCTCCTCCTCAGCAGCTCTCCAAGGCCAGGAACGTGGAGAAAGGGGCCCTTGGGTGGGCAGGGAGGGGAGGGGAGCTGGGAAATAGTCCTGCCTGGAACAGGACCGTTGCTCAGTGCTGTGCATGAAGAAGGTTCGATATTCATGGGGTGGGCATGGTCTCCCATGACTGGGACCTGTAAAGATTTCAGTCCTAGGGAAGAGGGAGAACATTTCCATGGAGATGGGAGATTTAACCACTTTGGGGGTCATACCTTAGTATCCTAACCCGGCTTCCCCAATCTTGCTCCATTGAACTCAGCGGGACTCACCTCTGCATAGGACTGTGCAGCGAAAACAGCACAATACAATAATGGGATAATATTTCAGGTCCTGCTCCATTTTTCATCACAGTTTTACTTCTGCATGGAGCCTCGCTCCCACAGGCAGAGCACACATGCTGTGGACCCTGGGCTGCTCCCACCCGCAAGGAGAAGGAAGAGCTTTTAAAAGGTTACTTTTATGCATGTGTGCTTTCAAAAGTGAGACATACTTTATGGATAGCCTCTTCCTCACATCAACTCTATTTTTAACTATGCACAATTTTTCCCATTTCTCTTTTATACGATGCATGTAAAGAAAGAGGAACCAACATTAACTGAACCTACTACTTCTTGCAAGAGATGGGATTGTTAACAGCCTGGGCTCAAAGTCCTCACGGGGTGTGCAAAAATGAGCAGAAAGACAGGCAATGTTTCCATGTGGGCGACTGATATAATGCCGAGGCGCCAAGGACAGGTTGCCAGGGGGTTTGGGAAGTGGAAGAAATTACAATCCAGCTTTTAACTGATCAGCTAGTAGCAAAGCAGCAATGAACAACCTGTTTCAGATACGGGCCTGCACTCTTTTAATTTTTTGCATTCTTCTCTCTTCCGTGAAAGTACCCATACGGGGTTAGGAAAAGAGCAAGGAGTCATGTGGAGCCATAAAGACATACGTTTTTATACTGGCATAAACTATAGGATATAACCCAGTGAATGTCCAGACAAAAAAGAAACCTACAGCATCTAGCAGGCCCCAGCCAGAATGTGTGTTCCATTTAAACGTGCCCAGGACTGCACCCTCCAACTGCAAGGCTGGATTTTCCTTGCGCCCGTTAAAAGGGCTGGGTAAATCAAGCTGCTGCTTGCAATGGAAACATACAGTTGCATTATCTTTCTGGTGCCTCAAACACCACAGCGGATACAGCAGTGCCATTGCCCACTCGTGCGGCTCGAGGGTTAGGCACAAATGCCAAGTCTGCACCTAGGAAAAGGAAATCAAACACAGCATAACAAGAGGAAAACACTTGGCTCAACAATAGTGCAGGTGAGAAGGATCTTGGAATGGTTGCATGTCACAAACTGAACAGGAGTCAGCAAAGTGATGTGGCTGCAGAAACGGCAGGTGCTATTTTGGACTGCATTCATAGAAGTATCACTTCCAAATCATGTGAAGGGCTAGTTCCTCTTTACTCTGCCCTGGTGAGGCCTCATCTGGAGTCCTTGTCCAGTTCTGGGCACCACACTTAAGAAAGAGGCAGACAAGCTGGAAGGGGGCTGCGGGGGCGCAAGGATGATCTGGGGACTGGAAACAGAACCAGGTGAGGAGAGATTGAAAGAGCTGGACTTGTTTAGCCTCAAAAAGAAAAGGCTGCGGGGAGATAGGATAGCAGTCGAGAAGTCCTTGAAAGGCTGTCACAAAGAGGAAGGACAGGATCGCTTCTCAATTGTCCCAGAGTGCAGGGCATGGAATAAGAGGCTCAAGTTACAGGAGGCCAGATTCTGGCTAGATATCAGGAAAAAATCCTGACTGTTAGAGTAGTGTGGCAGTGGGACCCATGACCTGGGGAGCTGGTGGGCTCTCCCACACTAGGGGCATTCAGGATGCAGCTGGGCAGCCGTCTGGGAGGGATGGTTTAACTGGGAGTCCTGGCCTGAGCAGGAGGTTGGACCCGACGGCCTTCTGGCCCCTTCCAACTCTGCTATTGCATGACTCTATGACCCAAGACAGCACTTCAAACAAGTGTTGTGTTTCAGAGAGAGGAAAGGCCAGCTGCCCCTCCCCAGAGTCCCTTGCATGTGACCTTCTGCTCCCTGGCTTCACCTGAGTTACCTTGGCTTGAGCTCTGCGAATGTGGCTGGCCGACGCATCGTGGCTCGTTTTTGATTACCTGCATGTCGCCACCTCGGCTTTTGCTCGAGTGTTCTAAGGAGTAGGCCAAACGGTCAAGGCGAAGGCGACCTGCGAGCTCTGAGAAGCCAAGGGAAGACTCCTGGCTTGGCTTCCCTGCCACGTCCTTCCACCCGTCATGGAGCTTGTGCACGGCCGTGGCGTTCCTAGCAAGGGAAGAGCCATGGGCGCCACCACTGCGGTGCCTGCTCTGCACGTGGCGCCTGGCCGCCCTGCAGAGAGCTCCGGGCAGACCGTGAGCGTCGCAGAGCATCATCCAGGCCATGTTCCCAGGGCAGCGGAGGCACTTCAGGAAGAAGCAGCCCGAGTGGATGCTCGGAGGGGCCGTGCGGCAGCGGCGTCTGACCCAAGGGGATCCCCTGCCCTGCACCATCTTCAGATGGCCTGGCGCACACTTGCCGGACAGCAACACCCTGGACCTCCCCTGTGCCTTCCCTCTCCCTGGTCTCCAACTGGTTTGCAGCAGATTGCATCTCCCGGCATTTTCAGCCTTTCTGCAGAAGGCTGCAGGGCAGTGAGGGCTTAATATGGAAATGCCATCCTAATTCGTCTGGTGCTGCTGGCAGCGCATGGGGCTTCCCGCACGGCCAAGACAAGAAGTTGCTGCTGCAGTGGCAGCAGAGGCAGCATTTCTCAACCCCGACGTGTTGTCACTTCGCATCCAGATATTTCCTGCCATCTGACCTCAGCGTTATCTTCCTCATTTTCAGCTTCCTCTTGAAAAGAGGAGAGGCCCCTTCAAAACAAGGCCCCTTCTTCGTGGAACGCCACTGCTCCTCTTTCGTGCTGCTTGATGGTGACCCTGAGCCGGAAAGCCGTTCCCTCACGCAGCTGGAACAGGTAGGGTGCAGCTCTGCTTGGTTCCTCTTCTTGGCCCTCTCACTGTGGTGTCAGAGAAAAGTCACTTGGGTTTTGCCAGCCCCCTTGCCTCGAAGGGCGAGAAACAATCGTTCTTCCGAGAGGTGGCTGGAAGGCGGCACCCATCTTTCCCCCGCTGCTGATCAAGACCTCGTCAAGCCCATTTCGCCAGGGGGACGCGGAAGGGCCCCCCCGAATCCTGTTGGCCCCTCTTCCAATCCACGCCCCGCTCACCAAGGCTGGAGACAGAACCGTGTCTTCATTTCAGGGGGGCAGGAATGGCTGGAAAGGCGGATGGGAGACGTGTCACACGTGGACATGTGCCTCTGCTATCGCCTTGGGGTGACGGGGTTGGTGGGGGGTTGTGCTGCCAAGATCCTGCAGAATAAGTTTGATCGGGGCAACAGTGGGGCCCAAGGAGGACCTGCACGTCCCGAGCCTCCGGCTCATGAGTCAAAGCTGGGGGAGACCGTAATGTTGGGGTGCGCGCAATCGGCCGGTAGTCTTCCAAGAGGACATTGGACTCGCTTGGAATTCTGCCCCTCCGATGCCTCTCTCTTCTCTGGCTGGTCTCCAAACGTTGAGCCTTTCCCAGCGGCCCCAGACGTAGGCATCCTGCACCAAGCTCCTTCCCAATGGTGGCGCCTCCAGAGAGCAGGGAAACTGCACCAGTGAGGCTTCTGCCCCATTTGCAGCGTGATTTGAGGCTGAATCGACTGAGGCTCAGTTGCATGGACGCTGTGAAGAACCTTCAAATGCGATGTAGAGATGGTAAGTGGTGTCCGTGGTTCTTCCACACTTCGCACAAGCCTCAGAATCATTCTCTTTCCCCTCCTTCTACAGCCTAGAAATGTCTCTAGTTGCCAGGGAACATTTTGCCTCCTCTTTTACTTGGGATTAGGGTTAGTCCTAAGACCCCCCAAGCCTGAAAGCTAAGAATGGTTCTTGTCCCAGAAAACCCTTCAGGCCAATCCTGGGATGGATCTTCCAAAGGAAGCGTTAAGATGGCATAGGTCTTTCAGAAATAAAAAAGCAGCCACTTGTTCTAAATCAAATGCCAGATTGGCTCTCATTCTTGCTTACTTTTGTTTAAAAATGTCTAGAAGTAAAAGATTTGCTGCTGCTTTCATTCTAGGAGGCAGGACACACCCAGAGGTTATATTTAGAGCAGAATCCCATCAAACTTTGTTAAAACAAAGGCGTCCATCTCATACTCGCTTCCCCGGGGGTTAATTCCATTGAATTCGTTAAGAATTCTTCCAAAGCATGCACAGGATTTCTTCATAACATGCCCCATTAAAAACAACAGAATGGAACCGAGCCGTGATGATCTTGACCGCACTGGGGACTTCTTTCCATCGTGCTCAGTATCTTTTCAAACTCTGTAGTGCTCCAAAAAGACAACCATGCCCAGATTTTAAGAACTGAAAGGCGACAAACTGGGAAGTCTCAGGGGAACTTAATCATATTGATCAAGCAGTAAATTAGATGATGAATAACTACAGAAAGTGAAAAGGTAGATTGCTGTGGCCCTTCCGCATTGGAAAACGGAAGCCCAGTAATGGATGGAATGCCTGGCTATCGACCAGATGGTCTTCCTTCCCCGAAACTAATTCGGAGGACACCAAGTTAGAGGTTGCATTTGGGACCTGGGCGCACGATCCCAAGAAGCCTTGTTGAAATGGATGGGAACTGGGCAAGAGCCTCCTTCTCAGCCAGCGAACGGAGCAGGGAGTTCATTACAGAAAAGGGCCTCTTTCTGATTTTCTGGGCAGTTTCTTAGGTGCAGTGGCAGCGGCAGCTGCGGCTGTGCCTGGTGCGTGCCCAGGGGCCTGAGCAAGCTGGACAGCACCTTCACGGGAAAGCTCGCAGGATCTCACGATCCTGGCCCCTTTTGGGGCTTGAATTCCCTCTTTCTAGCAGACAACTAAAGCCATCACTGGCTCTACGTTTCATCCAGTTAATGTTCATTTTAAAAGTGGTTGTTTCTCACTCTGAACCCGAAGGGCAGCGGAAGACTGAAAGGCACCCATGAAAGCAGCTGGGTGGAATGGGACTGGGGAGGACGGGATGCAACGACCGGATGCAAAAGTGTTCTCACATTTATTCGCCACTTTGCTTGCTCCTGCAAGCGACCCCGGGTGGCTGGCTCACAAGCTTCTCCTCCTCTCCACTTCTGTCCTCAAAGCAACAGCCCTGTGAGGTGGGCTAGGTGGAGAGTCCATACGGGCCTCGGGCCCCCCAGTGAGCTCATGGCTGAGCGGGAACCGGAACCTGCATCTCCTGAGTCCCGGTCCTGCACTCTCTCCGTGACCCCACACTCCAAGCGGTGCAGAAGCAGGACATTCGGCAGGACTGCTTGGGGTGGTCCCTGGGACTGGCCCGGCATAAGCCGTTTCCCCGTGCGCCTCCTGCAGACCAAATTTCCACCCTGCCCAGTAGGACTTGCTGCATTCCAGTGCCACCCAATCACTCGGGTGGTTTCCAAAGCACTTCCCATGCAATAACAGAGAATAAAAATGTGAATTTTGTGCAGTACAAATGCAAGTCCCACTGTACTTGAAGTATTTAGGACGTCAGCCCAAATTATCTTGGAAATGAGTCTGGTAATTCTTCATGTGGGTATTAATAAATGGCCAGGTGGGGCCTGACTGCCTTCCTTCGCTCTCTCTCTCCCTCCCTGTTTCTCTCCGATCAAATGTGTCTTATTCAATGGTCATGTTGAAAATAGATGAATTTTGCACGCTTGCGCACAGTACACCATGGACCCTTGTGCACTGTGACCCGATGCCTCAGAGGCCGTGATTAGAAGGGGGAGCCCCGAGCGCCCAGTTTTTTCTCCGTCTCTGCAATTGTGCAAACAGACAGTCGCAAACAGGGCTTTCCACGTGCATTAAGCCACAGCAAGCTCACAGGACTCGTGCGGATTTCTTAATTACGAGAAGGCATGAAAGAAAGGGGAATACCAGCCTTTGTGGCTTGCATCCTTCTCAGATTCTTCCCAGTGTGGAAACACCAGCTGCATATGGCGGGACAGCTCTCCATGCCCCCAGCCCGCTGCCAGATCCCTGGAGTGCGGCATCGTGGGTGCTCTCAGGTTCTGCCCTGGCATTAGGGCAGAACCTCTGGCCTCCCTCCAGCAACGCAGGCAGACATCCAGTGCTAGATAATTCTGCAAATATAAATAAATGCATGTGAGGCATTGCAGGTCACGGGTAGCTTAGACATTTGCACCCCAGTACAAGCTCCCTACAGACAACCTACAAAACATGAACCATTCCAAAAGGGCACCTGGAGGGCACGAGGGATGCTGAAGGGGGGCAGGTGGAGGTGCCGTGTGTCCGAGGAGACCTGTTGGCCCCCCAGGGAGAAACGGAGAGCAGCCTCCCCCCTTCCTTCCACAGGCAGGGGGCATCTCGGCTGCCTGCTTCGTGGACTTTCCGTTTTGGTATGTGAAGATCAGGCTCGGAGTAACCATCCGTGAATTCTGTCTGTTCTCTTCTCCCCCAGGGTGTCGGCCTGCTGCAGGCGTCTCCGGCCGTCTTCCACAACAGCCCTGCAGTGCTGCATTCCGTGTATTTGACGAGCTGAGTTCGACACTCAGTGTGGCAGAGTGTCAGTTTGTCAAATATACAAAGTGCGGCATCTGCCCAGCAACGCTGCGCCTCGGCTGAGACCGCTGGACCTCGGGCGTCTGCACGGGGGGGGGGCCACGGGGGCTTCGGAGGGTGCAGGCTGCTCTGCATTTTCGAGCTTTTAGACTTCCTCCCGTAGCCAGTTTTCTCCCTCCCTCCCTCCCTCCAGACCTGTCATCCTGAAAGCCAGTACCTTCTCCATAAGTCATCCTTCTCCAACCAGGAACCCTCCAGATGTGATGGGCTACAATTCCCATGGTCCCCAGCCATCATGCCCAGCGGCCACGGTGGCAGGGCAGGATGGAACATGTTGGCCAGCACAACTGGGGGCTGCCAGTGGGTCGAGAGTGCAGCTCCTTGCAGCTTCCGGGCAGCAAAGGGAGCCCTCCCCCTGCCCCTCGGTTTATTGCTGGAGCAACACAGGGCCCTGCAGAGTTTAAGGACTAGTGCCCTGAGCAGGCGGTCCTGCACATGCCTCCTCAGAAGCAAGCTCCATTGACCTCAAGGGGGCGGGTGGGGACTGCCGTCTCGGAGCAGCGTGAGCACTGATGGCCTGGCACCGGGGAAGAGAAACTCTGTCCTCCGGAACTTGGTGGACTGCCGCCCTTGGCCAGGCTGGCTGGGGCTGATGGGACCTGGAGGGCTGCTTACTCCCCTCCCCGGCCTGGAGAAAACTGGCGGTGAATTTGCATAGACACAGATCAAATGCCACTGCATGCAGAGGGGCACTTCCGGAAGTAAACGGGATCACTGGAAGGGGAATCGGACCCAGTCCAGCGCTGTGGGGGAACCGAACCAGCAACCTGCAAGTTGCCCTGCTAGGCTTCTCCACAGATGGAGCTTTGTATTAACCTGGCTTGAAGTCCAGCCCTTCAGAGGAAGGATGCCTTTTAAATAGAGGGCAGTCCTCTGTCAGCCTTTCAGCAGAGGACTGTCCTCTGTGAAGGAGGACATCTGGCCACCCAGAAGCCTACATGCAGGGCATCAAGGCGAGAGCTGCAAGTCACAGCCCACGGGATGCCTCGACAGCTTCCTCCCCCGTGCCCTCGGCCCGCACCCGTGCAAAGCCCCCTGAGTTCCATCCCATCACGGCAGCAAACGCCTGCGGATTGTATCAGTGAATCAAGTGGCGTGTGAAGAAGCTTTGCTTCTCGCCTGGAACTGGAGCTTTGCCAGGAGCGTTGCTGGATGACCTGCGGGGAGGGAGGGAAACATCCCCCTAGGAATATTGGACAAGCTCTGGGGGTGACGAGGACTTCCAGGGTCTCCTCTGGTTCCAACTATGGGTGGCAAGGAGGATGGTCCTCTCCAGGTCCTGGCAAGAACAGGGAGCAAAAGCCGGGGGGAAGGTGAGCTGGGGAAGAGAGGGGGGACTCCTTGAAGGAGGGTGAAAGACCAGGGTCGGGATGGGAGGGGATGTCCTTGTGCAAGAGCAAGAAGCTGGAACCTTTCATCCTCTTGCTTCTCTTGTTCCAGTGGGTTTGTTCATACATGACTGTCTGACTTTCCCGGAGCTTCAGCAGTCCTACAAGACCTGAGTCCAAATAGGGGAAAGGTTTTACGCTCTCTTCCCCAGCCTGCATGGTGCATTTTGCTCACTGCCTGAGAGGCTGCACAGTGTTAGATGACTTATTAAAATGCAGGCTGGCTTTAGATCCAGCTTAGCTGAGAGCTTTTCAAAACGTGGACTTCTGGATTTATTTATGTATTGGTTTGATCATTTCATTTCTATACCTTCCAATAGCCAAAAGGCTCTCTGGGCGATCCGCAAAGTTAACAAGCACGCATTAAAAAAACAATATATAATAAACAATAAGACAATTGGCTCGCTCTTTTCTTTCTGTGACTGACTTTGTTGGCCTCTGAAAATTAATGTCTGCCTCTTCCGTGCGCTTTTTTTTTTTTTTTTGGTGGACAAGCAGCATATCAGATTGTCAAAATAAATGACTGTGGCTGAGCAAAACCGCCCTGTGAAGAACACAAGAACGGCTCTATTTGCCCAGGTTGCCACGTGTCGGAAACAGTCCCACACCCGGGCTCCAGTGCTCTGCTCATCACCAAGACCACACTTCCCCCAGCCAGCAGCCGTGCCCGTGAGAATCCCACGCGGAGAAATGACTGGCGTGGTCCAGGGGGGACAGAGCACTGAAGACACCTGAATGCAGAGCTCAGTGATATCCCCTGAGTGCAACTAATGCAATGTAGACTGCAGGCACCTGGAGCTGAAGGGGGTCTCCTGGCCACATGCACTCGGCACGGCACCTGAGCGCCAGGGCGAAGGGAACTCACCCAGGTTTTGCATCCACACCTCAGGAGCCCTGAAGGAACTAACATCTGCACAGAAAATACCTTTCTGCGTCTTCTTTGGGCAAATGCGGGAGTGTTCCTAGACAGCCACTTAATTCCTGGTGTATTTGCATATTTTTGTGGACACCCGAGTTTAATGAATGGCACAGCTAGAATCATCTTTCTACGTGTGCAAACACTGGAGAACCCTCCTTCTCCCCAGCCTTTGCATCTTTGCAATTTCGCTGAAAAATTAAGCAAATTACTAAGAGGGATTTAAGGCCTCGTTTTTCAACCCCAGCTCACAGCACGGCTATCCGTAATGAGAGACACGGCACCTTTAAGGCACCCAATTTGAAGGGTGACAAAAGTAATCGTGCAGCACCTTAAAGGCAAACAGATTCAGTATGGCAATTGCTCTCACGGACTGGCAGCTGCTCTATCACATGCTCCCTGCTCAGCCTTGAAAGCTTCCAGCTAAAGCTGTCAGTTTTTAAGGGGCTGCATGACTCTTGCTATCACAGAACTCCTCCAGAATGTTTCACCAAGATGCCAAGTCAGAGCTGCCTAGGAAATAAAATACCAGTCATAGTAGAATATGTAGGCCAGCTCTGAATTTGGTGGCATCTTCACAGAGGTCCACCAGTCTGATGGCTTCTCCCAGGCTCCCGTGGGATCTGCAGAGAGGACTTGCTGTGGGCGCCACTTTTTAATCCAGGAGAACAGGAGGGGATCTCCGTGGGGCAGCCGTGTGGCCACCTCATTGCCGACTTCCCACCTGCAAGCCTGCTGGGGCATCTGGGAGCAACAGCACATGGCCTTCCTTAAGCCCCCCGGAGTGGCTTCCAAGACAGTTGCTGCCCTCAGCCTGAAAGACGCCACGGAAGTGGAGAGTCTAACACAAATAGACGATGAAGCAGGATTCCTGAAATTCACTGGGCAGGACTGAGGGGACAAAATCCTCCAGCTGCACCCCAAATGCCCCTGCTCGTCAGCACGCCAGAAGCAGCAGGAGATGCTGGTCTTGGGTACACCCTGGGCTAGGAGCAGGAGGGCGCAGGCAGCCAAGGAGGAAGGGCGCTCAGCTGACTTCAGCAGGGGCAGGAGAGACTCTGACAGGGAACGAAGCCGGGCTGAACGCCGGTGCTGTTCTGGCGCCAAGTGGGCAGAATTGCACGAACCACCAGACAGCTCGTGGTGCAGTGGCGAAGAGTGCAGGACCAGGACTCGGGAGATCTGGTGCTGGTCCCCGCTCAGCCACGGAGCCACCTGGGTGACGTGGGGCCGGTCACACACTCTCAGCCCAGCCTACCTCACAGGGTTGTTGTGGAACGACAAGGAGAGCAGCAGGAGGAGAATGATGAGAACCACTTTGAGTTCAGAAGCAAAAAAGCAGGATATAAATTGAATGAATGAATGAATGAATGAATGAATGAATGAATGAAGTTAGGATGCATTGCTAGATTACAGCACGAGGCCAGTGGAAGGCAGGAGCAGGAAACCGGGGTGATTGTTGAAGAAAGCATGGAATTGGGCCCTGAGGGGCTTTTACTTCCGGGCTACAGGTCAGTAGGGCCAGATTATCAGGCCCAACCAAAGCCCCGGGAGGCGCTTCTCCTGGAAGCCCGAGTAGCAGTTCCAAAGACCTCTTCTATACCTGACTGAAATCGGAAGAGCCCTCACAGGGGGACAGGGGACAGTTCAAACCATGCAGCATCCTCTTATACCGCGAGGGCGGCCAAGTTGCTGTGTTTATTATGCATGTAAAACATTAGTTGGCTGTACCAGGCAGGAGAAAAAGAAACAGCCGTGAGAAGCAAACATCAGGAACAGTGGATTATGAAGTGCCATTCCGGCTTGCCTAGAAACTCTTTGCTGATATGGAGGGAGTACAGGAATGTTTTAACACTGCCCATTAAAACATCCGTTCTTACTAAAAACATTTTTTAAATGCAGCAACAGTGCAGAAACCAACAGAGGTGGCAGAAAAAAACTGGGCTAGTTACTTTCCGTGTTGCCAATAGAAACATGGAGGAAGAGAGGCTGGCTGCATTCACACACCACGACAAGCAAGACTGTGCGGTTGCCCATGGTTTGGAGGGGCTTTTACCAGGATCCCCCGACAGACAAGCTAGTAGTTTCTACTTGATCGTGGTTTCCTCCTCCCACCGAGTAAAAAAATGTAATGGCTTGTTGTGTTGTCTGAAAGAGCCACTGATTTATGTGTAGATGAAATGTGGGCTTGTGACCACTGGTGTCTTGCTGGGGTTACTTAATCCCTTCCCTGACATGCCCTGTTTTCTTTGCACACTTCCCCCACAAGGGGGCACACTTCCAACATCTGTGCCTCCTCAGAAGAAGAAATGACCTCTGGGAGGCGACTGGACCTCATTCTAGGCACAATTCCATGAGCACACCACACAAGCACGGTCCTTTAATAGTGGAAGAAGAATTCAAGTTTCCAGTCCTTAACACTATGATGGCAGGCTTGAAGGTACATGGGCAACATCTAAGGAGACGTCAGAAGCCAATGCATGGACTTACTTACTTACTTACTTACTTACTTACTTACTTACTTACTTACTTACTTACTTATTTAGCAAATTTCTATTCTGCCCCATTCGCCGAAGCCTTGGGGTGGCTCACAAATATGGAGAAGTTTCATATCAAGGCATGTGTTCCCTTCTCATGACAAGTACAAACAGAGTAAATTATTATTTTTAACCTCCCCAGGTATGGCCATTTCCTTCACTTAAACAGGTCACCCCTTTCCACCTTTCTAGGTCCACTGGACAACTTGCAAAGGAACACTTTGGCTCTCCCACACTGGAGACATTCAGAAAGAAACTGGCCAGCCCTCTGAGTGGGATGGTGCAGCTTGGTGTCCTGCAGCAGCAGGGGGTTGGACTTGATGGCCCTCATGGCCCCTTCCAACTCTGCAGTTCTATGATTCTGTGACTGGGAAACCTGATGCTCTTCATAGCTGTCTGGTTGTAAGCTCCAAACAGTGGCACAGGAGGGGCGCAGTTGTGGCTACAGGTGCATAAGCTTGGGCAGATGTTCCCAAGAGCACCTGCCAGCTGTTCAGTAAGGAAGGGAGCGTACCAAAGATGCAGTCCAGCTGACAGACAAAACCAAAAGTAGACCTGTGGCAAGGACTGGACAGGCATTGAGCATGCTTTGCTGTGACTGCTGGGTCAGGCTGGAGAATTGTGTACAGAGCACAAATTTCCTGGCACAGGAAATGTGCCCTCAAGCTAGAGGTATGTGCACAGAAATCTTTCCCCCTGCAAATGCACTCGCCTGCTGGATCTGAGTCCAACAGGCCCTCAAGGCAGGACGAAGAGGGCTCTGCTGTACATTTCTAGGCCACCTGGTGGAAACTGTTCCGTGAGGAGTTTGCATGCATCCCTCAGGCATTTTGCCCACCTGCTTCAGCATCTTCTGCTCCCAAGGGCAGCCAGAGGCCTCCTCCTTACCTGCTGCTGGATCCTGCTCACTGCAGATATCGCTGGGGCTGGACATTGGGCAATGTACAAAAAGCTGGGCCCCTGCCCAGGCAGAGGGCTACACAGGACGCAAAGCAAGCATACAGGTGTGCTGCAGAAGGGGCAGCGACAGAGCAAACCGCCCCCTCCACAAAGGCCCTGCAGATTCAGCCGCTGCAGTCCCACGCTTGCCAGGCTCCCGATGGGGCCGGCTCAGTCTCCTATTTCATACTCAGACTCCATCTTGTTCGGAAGGATATCATAGTCGTTGATGGCGTTTGTACCCATGGTCACATACACACCGCCCTTCGTAGGTTCCATGGTGTAATTGTTGCCAAACATTTGAGTGGGATCCTCATATTCAACTCCGCACACAGGAACAATTCCCAGGCTGACTGGGATGGTGTCTCCGCTTGTCATGGCATAATTGGTGCTGAAAGAGAAAGCCTCATGTGAGAATCGGGCTGGGGAGACGGTCACTTACCCGCATCCAGAAGTTGCAGGCGCGATGGAAGGCAGCTGAGCAAAGCAGAATTTGTGGAGCGGAAACCCAGTGGGTTTGCACTTCCTGCTTCTGCAAGGCATCTCGCCCTTTGCACTGCTTTGCACGTCCTCCTCTCAATTCTCTAAATACTTCCAGGGTACATGACCTAGTTTGAGATCTGCAGTTCTGCTTTTTTTAAAAGGCACGCGGTATCTCTCCCAAATCACAATCAGGTTACACACAGCCTCCTGCAACCCTGGTTATGTTTCCCAAACAGGAATTCTTGCTGAGTCTGGTGAGGCTTCTTCACCAACAGAGCCTTCCAGCAATTAGTTAAATCAATAGGCAATGTTTAAAACTTCGAGAAGAACATGATCGATGGCCTACTCTTCCATTTAAATTTTTTCCCGTTTTAATTTTTTTAAGTACTGAGATTTTGTGATATTTGAGGTCATACTGCAGAGAACAAATCTCGCAACTTTTGCAAAACCAGCAGTAGCTTCCCCATGACTGCTCATGCTTAGAGAAACCAACTTATTTATCCTTTTTTTACCACAAGAAATGTGAAGCCCAGCTTTTCAGACTCCCCACCCGAGCCAGTCATTCACATTCACTCCCCACACCCCCCAGTTTCAATATTGCCTCTTCAACATCAGGCGATCACTTACTAGGTGACTTCACAGCGGTTTTCTGAAAAAGAAACAGGAAAGGTTCTTGTGAAAAATGTTTTGCTTAGAAAAGCAGATTCATTTCAAAATAATGAACAACGATCCTTCAAAATGTAAAAAGGGGTTGTTGGTTGATCGGTTGGTCTGTTTTTAGAAGCACAATAAGCACCCAGACTGAATTGTGTGTATTCTCTGAATACTGATTTCTGCCACCCTGTCCATGTTGTATCTTTAGGTCTCCCGTCCAAGGAGCCCTCCTCTGCTCTGCCCAGGGCCCAACTCACCGGACTTGGGTTTCCTTCTGCAAAGGATAACCAACCCCACAGCGATGAGGAGGGCAGCACAGAGCACTGCGATCAAGACGATGAGGTACAGCGGCAGACTGGCTTTCCGAAGACCTGGCAGAACGAGCAAAAACCGAGGGTTCCAATAAGGGAGACGGCCATTTTAATGCATTTTTTCCAGAGAAGCAGGCCATCCATGGACCACTGAAGCACAGAGCCCCCCCTTCAAATTCCAGCTAAGTGCAAGCCACATTCAGCATCGAGGCCTCATCTGTGGAATGGGGCTATTTTGCAGCCCGCCAGCAGGGGGGGATCACATCTTCTCTCTCGGCCCCAGTTCTGCAAGAGCGGCTGCCCTGGGAAGACCCTGCCAGACTCCACTGTTCGGATGGGTTTGGGGGCTTCGATGGTGATTGCTGCCCTGATATTCTTCCTTTTGGCAAGGCTACATGAAGATGGGGTGACGGTGCTCGTACGGTCTGCTCCGTTCCATGCAGGCGAAACGTCTTTTCCTGCTGTGCACAGCGCTTGGTGCACGCTGGCTCCCCCTCGAGGTGCTTTGGGATCTGGGCACCAAAGCGAGGGGCACTCGTGTGGCTGGCGCTCTTTGTGAGCCCCCCACCACCACTCGGGGCCTTGCTCCCCGCAGCCCAGCTCCTTCCTGCACCCGAAGCATTTCAGCCCACTGGACCCGGCTCATCCCTGCACAAGCAAGCACAGGCCGGGCATGACTCCCTTCCTCGCTCAGTCCTGCAGTCCGGTTTATTTACCAAAGCTTCCCGCAGCTGTCCCATCACCTCTGCTCGCTCGAGAAGTTGCAACAGGATCTAAAGACAACCCAGAGATCCTGAGTCAGCGGGAGGGAAGGGGGTGGCTTCCCGACAAGTCCGTCCACGGGCTTTCCAGGGGCCTGGGTGCAGGCAACTGGGCCCCCCCACCCCTGGCCAGCCCGCCCATGGCTTCCCACGGGTTCTTCCACCTGTTTCCTCACTGCAGCAAACCCATTCAAGATCCAACAGTGGAGTAAAGGGCCCCAGGCTTTTCCCATGAAGGACCTTCAAGAATATCACCTCTATATCAGGGTGCACAAGCGTTTTGCCCCCAAGTGCGGGCAGATCGACAGCTGGCCTCGCACTGTCCACACCCACCCGCAGCCCTGACCACTTCCCTTCTCTCCTTGCTGCCAGGAACTTTTCAGAGGGCGCAGAAAGCCCTCTGCTCTGTGGCCCCAGGGAGCCTCTCCTTCCCCAAAACGCCTCCGGCCGCCTGCATCTCAGCAGCAGTGGGAAATCGGCAGCAGAGAGAGAGGGGGGTGTTCTTGGGCCCGGGGGTCACACGCCAGTCTTAACAATAATCCCACTGCTTGTGCCACAAGCAACAAGACCGAGTGTAGGCATGAAAGGAACTCAGACAGGATAACAGCCAGTTAAATCCAGTTTATCCACTGATTTTGCTGTTTTAGTTCTCAAAGACCAAGAGAGAGAGAGAGTTTCCGGAGGTTATTTGCTCATCAAAGGCATCTGATATGGCTGCAGCGCATGAGGTTAGATTATTAAAACAGAATGGATGGGTTTTAATCTAGAAAAGAAGATTAAAGTTCAACTGTCAGAGGAATACTTGGTACGTTGGAGTCTGCCACATGCCTGATCGTTCGAAATCACAATTTCAGTTGTGAAAAGATGCCCCTTCTCTAGGGAACGGATGGTGACGGTCTGAACATTGTCAGATGCAGAGAGAGCTGACTGATCAGAGAGAGCAAAGAAGAGGGAGCGAGCGCAAAGGAGGGATCCCGTAACGAGGTTCAGTTCTGTTATGTTCTGGAATCAAGACTCCAATTATGTGCTGGGAACGCTGGACAGAGGCAAGGCTTTGAGAAGCCACACAGCAGTACAAATAATATTGAGGTGACGGGATCATACTGTGAATGGCTGTTCTGTGGAAATCGGCATGAATTGACATGCCTACAAAATACATCGACATGCTTACAAAAGCTTACAAAATACACCTTGTTACTGCTGCGTGGCATTTATAGTCCACCATGCCCAGCGGGTCCCAAAAAACCAGGCGGGCAGTCCTGCGCCCCCGCCCCTCGCAGGGGTGCTCACTTCCTCAGCCTGGGGCCCTGCCCGCTATCAGGTGACACCTCCCACCCTCTCCAGCCGGCATGGCAACCTGGGCCCGGCTCTTTCTGACCTGTCTGCGTGCCGGCAGCCCTTCTTGGGTCGACGGGGCCGGCCACTGTGCCCACTCTGTGCTTCCAGTGGGCCGTTGTTGTTTCTGCAACGACATCACACCCCGTCAGAAAAACGAGCTCCTCAAAAGTGGGGAGTCCTCTGTAAAGAGCAAAGAGCTTGCCGGGTTTGACAGGTGGGGCCGCAGCAGCGGCGATGGAGGGGAAGATCAAGGGCCAGCCACGGCCCCACACTCAGAACAAGCCCGCCAGTGCTCCTCCCAAACTGAAGGCAGCTGCTCAGCCCCAAGGAGAAGGGACATGGGGCACATCCCAGCCTTCCCTACCTTCCAGTGCTGTGCAAGGGAGGGTGCCTGTGAAAGAGAGAGAAAGGAGCGGTATTTCCTGAAGCAACTGCAGAAGGGAGACGAGGGGAGCTGCACCCCGATGGCCCCATGGGGTGCTGGGCAGCACCCCCCCCAGCGTGGTTTCCCTGACGAATCGGGACCCTGTTTATCCGCATGCCCCTAGACTGGGTGGGGCATGTTCCGATACGGTGAATTTTGGGAATTTTGGGGTGCGGAGCTGCACTGCTTGGATGAAGAGTCCGAGGAAGCCTCTCTTCCCATATCAGCCAGCCATGCTGGGGGTCCCTCCCATGTGAGGGGAACAGTCGTCAGCGGGGGAGGCCTCTCTCAGCAGCGGCCCGGCAAGCAGGAAAAGGCGTGGCCACGCGGAACGGCTCCCCTGGAAGGCACGGGCAGGGGGTGCATTTCGGGAATGCAAGCTTCTCATCGCACGGTCATCTGCGCATGCATGCGTTTCCACTGCATGACCTTTTGTGGACCAATCTGAAATCCCAGGTGATGAATGGGGGTCGAAGGTACTGAATGGGGCTAAGCACAGAAGCAGAGCGAGTCAGAAAGGGCCTCCTGGGCCCTCCGGTCTGACCCCAGCTCCAGCCAGCTCTGCACACGCCATGCCTACCATGTGCATGCGCAGCCTGTCCCTGAACGCCCTCGCCGATGGGGCTTCGACCACCTCCCGAGGAAGCCCATTCCATATCCTAGGGGCCCTAAGTACTTCCTGGCATCCACCCTAAATCTTGGTTCCCTGAGCTTTGCTCCACTGGAACGCATCCTGCCCTTCACTGCAGGGGAGAAGCGGTCATGACCCACCTCTGCGTGGCACCCCCTCACGTACCCATATGTCATTAACAGGTCCCCTCGGAGTCTCCTCTCCAGGCAGAAAAGACCCGGCTCCCTCAGCCTCTCCTCATATGGCTTCCCCTGCAAACCGGCCACCATCCCAGGGGCCCTTCACTGCACTGATTCCAACCTTAATCAGCTCCTGGAGGCACAAGAGACCCTTAACTTCTGCGCCCCCATCACAGAGCTCAGCTCTGCCCATTCCCAGGTGCCACGGCGCAACAGGAGGGTTTCCCTGTGGGCCGGTGGCACGGCCAGGGTTGCACCTGGCAGCCGAATGAGGGCCCAGCCACTGCTCAGAGGGCGGCAGCTGAGAGGACCGCTGCTGGCAAACCAGGCGGTGCTGCATCACAGCCTCTTGGTCCTTAAAAGGTTTTGCAGCCAGGCCGGAGGGGCACTCATTTCGTTGCCTCTGCTTAAAAAACACTCTCTCTTTTTGTGGGCATGTTGTGAGCGGAGCCGGCTGGAGCCGGGGGTCAGACTAGATGGCCCAGGAGACCCTTCTGACTCACTCTGTTTCTGTGTTACTATGTTTTTCCCACAAGCAGGGAAAGGCTGCCCAGCAGGCGCAGCTCCCCGTTCGGCACCTGGAAGGCAACTCACCTGCCCCTGTTGGCGTGGGCTCCTTGGTGTCTGGCCGCAGAGTGGGTGCCTCTGACTCTGCAAGACAAAGGGCCGTGCGTCAGTGAATTGCTCTTTCCCGCCCCCACGGTTTCTGTCGGAAGGTGCTGCAGCTTGTGTGAGAAATGCACCTCCCATCCGTGCAGGTGAGCAGCATCCCTTTAAGCGCTAAGAAGGGGGAGAGGAAAGAGGAAACCGCGGAGAATCCGTCGGCGTGTGGCTGGCAGCTTTGGCAGCTGCTGTGTGGTGCCAGGACTCTCAAAGGGCTCCTTCTTGGATCACTGGCTGCAACGTGCTTGCAAGTTCTACACCAGTGATGGCGAACCTTTTAGAGACCGAGTGCCCAAACTGCAACCCAAACCCCACTTATTTATCGCAAAGTGCCAGCACTGCAATAAAACCTGAAAACTGAGGTTTTAGTTTAGGAAAAACAGCTCCTTCCCGAGCATGGAGGCCTGATCATCCATCGGCTGCTCTGGGACTTCGAGCCAGGCCATGCTCTTGTGAGGTGCGAACCCAGCCGCGGCAGAGCTGCATGGCGGAGGCCCTTACCTTGCACCGTCAGCCGGACGGCGTCGCTCCGCCGCCTTTGTGAACTGACTCTGTTTTCCGCTGTGCAGTAGTAGCTCCCCGAGTCGGAGGCCTGCAGCCGGTCAAGGGTGAGCACTGCAGTCCTGCCCAAGAGCTTGTCAATGCTTCCTGGCCCCTCCTTGAACCACTTGTACGTGATGGTCGGGGAGCCGCTGGCCGAGCACGTCAGGCTGGTCCTGCTCCCAACAGGCAGGACGGACGCGTTGCGGCTGAGCGTGATGATGGGCTTGCTCGCTGGAACTGGAGACCAGAACAGGGGCTGACATTCATCAGACTGCCACAGCAATGAGAGACGCTGTGCAAGGACCGTCCGAACCGGCACAGCAAGTGAGGGAACCGCATGGGGAAGCCAAAGGAAGCAAAGCAAAGCAAACTGTGGCACTGCCCGCATCAGCGGGCAGACCAAGTTCCTAGCCCTTGCCGTTTTGCGGAAAACTCAGCAGACTTTTCTTCTCCCTCCATTCACATGTGTCACCATCTTGTTTGCAAAACAATATTGAGAATTGCACCATGCAGGACGTGAAGGGTTATGACTCGTCCCTTCTACAGAGCTGAGGACAGCCTTGCATTTCCTTCATTATTAGGGTTAGGGTTTGCTTTGAGAGGCTGGACGCATGCCACAGCTTCTCAAAAGTACACCAAAGAGCAATTCTGCAAAGCTAAGCAAAGGGGGTGGCATTGAGGGGAAGGGTCCCATGACAACATGCAACCCAAGGGAGATATCGCCAAGATTACCTTTTATCACCTTGAGGGTGGTCATCCTCTCCCTCTTTATCAAGCTTTTGTTTCTGGCCTCCCAGGAAACTTCACAGGTGTATTGCGCAGTGTCTGTCATCTCGAGCTGATGGATGAGGAGCGAGACGCTGCCCGGGAGCCCTTTAGCAACGCTGAGTCTGCCTTTGAAAGTCGTCAAGAGAACCTGATCCCCAGAGTTAGCATCGCGGTGGAAGATGGTCTTCAGGGCATCCCAAGAGGCCTTCCAAATGACCCTGAGCTCCTTGAAGTCGGCAGACGGTTCGTACACACACGGCAAAGTGATGGCAGCTCTCCAAGTGCCGTTGACCACCTGGAGGCCTTGCAGATCCAGGACGGCTGTGGAAGGCAGCGGAAGCACGCGTGTGAGCAGGTGGCAACCACGCTAGGGTGCAAGTGGAGGATTTTGAGATCAGGGGCCATTTGGGATTCTGGGGCCGGGCCGGGCCTCCCTCCATGGGTGGAACCGTGAGCAGGAGACCTGACAGCACATGCCGCTCTTGGAGAAAGTGCTGAGATGCTCCTTGCGCAAAGTTGGAAGGGCCCCGGAGCAGTGAATCACCCCAGTTTCCCTTCAGACAGAGAAGAATCCGGGCATGATTCACGGTGTTTCACAAGCAAGAGTTGCTACAGAGGTGGAGCTGAGATGGGGCAGCGAGCCTTGGGGGCCCGTGGGTCATGCTGGTCGGAGGCTGCAGCGCATTCCCTGTCCCGCACGTTCCCCGTAGCCACCCAAGCCTCAGCAGGCTGGAGAGGAGAGCCCTACAGCGGCAGGGAAATCGCAATCCCGGCCACTGCCTGTCCTCTGTCCCGGCAACCCTGGTCCGGGGTAACGAGCTTTGATCTCTTCCCTGCAGCTCAGGGCAGGGAGGAGCAGGCTGTGGGGAAAAGTGGGTTAGACGCTCTCGTTGCTAATTAATCAGTAACCTTTCCTATTTTGCTCTAGTAATCAGCCCAGCGTTGGTTCTGTGAGCACAGATATTATTGTGTGCATGTCCCCTACGTATATCCTGGGCTCAGTGACCTCCGAAGGCGGCCACTGGTCACCCACACGGTTTCTGTGTTAGAAGGTTTACTTCCTCAGCGTGAGGTCACTCTGCAAGCACCAGGATGGCGGGGCCTGTTGGGCAACCCGGAGAAGCGTGTCTCGTCCTTGTCCTTCCCGAGAGGTGTCCATCAGCACACGGCACAATTAGAAAAGGCATTAAAAATAGAGCTGCCAAGACTGCACTCCCTAGGGCAAATCTTTGCTACCACCACACTTGGAATAGTGTACACAGTTCTGGCCACTGCACCCGGAAAAGGGTACTATTGAGCTGGAAGAGATACAAAGAAGGGCAAAAAATGGTCATGAGGTTGGAACAACTTCCTTGTGAGGAATGCTTACAACTGCTGAAATTCTTTAGCCTAGGAAAAAGATGAGTAAGCAGAGGCATGATGGACACAGAGACTTAGCATGGCATGAAGGAAGTGGGGAGGAGACATTTTTCTCCCTTGCTAGTAGAACCCACCGGGGGGTCACCCCATGAAGCTGATGGTGGGGAGACAGGAGAGTTCACAGGGAGGGCTTCCTCACGCAGCACCAAAAACGATGGCCTTCACTGCCACAAGAAGTCGCGACGGCCACCGGTTTGGACAGCTTTAGAGGAGGATTGGACAAATACCCGGTGGAGGCATCTGTTAAGAGATGCTCGTGCTGGTGGCTGTAAGTTAGCTCCAGTTATCAGAGGCAGTGTGCCTTTGGGCTCCAGTTGCTGGGGAACAGGGGTGGGAGGGTGCCTGTTACACACACATCCTGCTTGCAGGATCCCAGGGGCAGCCAGTTTACTCCTGTGTGAACAGACAGCTGGATGAGATGAACTCTTGGCCAGATCCAGCAGCGCTATCCCGTGTTCTCATGGAGGAAGATAAACAGGCACTGTGGCACCTTAAAGACTTGGACGTTCACCAGAGTCCACTTTAAAAGCCGGGCAAGGCACACACACACCGAGTAGAGAAGGGCCGAGAGCAACCTGTGCCATGCGCTGCTCAGCCCCTGGGAAGTCACCACTGGTCTTGTGTAGCTTAATCAAAGCTGCATTTCACACAATGAAGCAAAACCCAAATGCCCTCCCCTTCTTGCAATGCGTAGCAATGGAAACATGCAACGAGATGGCATCACTTGCTCTCCCGAGCGCCCCGGCGCACCAAGGTATCAACACAGCACTCAGTTCTGTTGCAACACGCGGTGGGGAAGGAAGGGGGGCGCTGAGCTGGGGTGCTGCTTTCCTCCCTGCCTCCCGTCCCCTACAGCCCCCTCTCTCCTCAGTGTCCCCAGCCGGGCTCCCTCCACATGGGCTGGGCTGCGGCACTGGGTAGCCAGGGCTTGTGCAAGCTGGAGCCCAACCCAGGTGGGGCAAGAACTCTACAGATCTTTCAAAGGGGGGCTGTCTCAGCAGACGGCAGCTTTTCTCTGAATCCCAGACGGCCGATGGAGCTGAATCTGAATTTGCTTATGGTTGGACTCATCCTCACCACTTCCCGAGAAGAACGTGGGTGCCTGCATGTGCAAAGCCCATGAAAGGCTTGAGCTGGCCTCCTCCTCACGCCTGGAAGGAATCCCCAAGGCCTGTGTCAGAGCACGTGAGCGTGCCGCAAGGGATTCGTGAGCAATCAAGGCACTGAGGCTGCAATCCTATGCAGTGCTTTTGTTGTAAAACAAAAAAAGGTGCCAGAACTCGTGTCTTGGAGTCACACTTTTACACTAAAAAAGATTTTCAATTCACCAACTTTTTTTGAGGTAAAAAACTTATTTTCCTTTTGCACGTAGCCAGTCACTCTACACACACATAAACATAATGGTCGCTGCCAGCAGTAAGCACTCAGCGCGCGACCACACGACCGGTCCCAAGCCGAGCAGCGTCCCGAGCCGAGCAGTGCCCTCACAAGCAGCGCCGACACACAAGCAGCCCGCAAGCTATTCAAAATCACTCCATTAGAAAAATCCATCAAAAAAAGGTGCTGGAACGCTGTTCCGGTGCATTCTATGACCAAAAAAGCCCTGATCCTTTGTATGTTTAGCCCCAAGATGGTGGGAGATGGAAGGACTTTATTCTGAACAGTCACAGGGCTGTGCGCCAAGGGAGCAATCCCACGGCGCCTGGACATCCGTGGGGCGGCGGTGCAGGTAGGCAGGGTCTGCTTCCCAGAACTGACTGTGGAGACAGAGCTCCAGTTTGGAGCTGGGAATCCGCCCCCAGGCTCCCTCCTTCCCCCATAGCTGGCGCAGAAGGAACTGGGATCTTACCCCAGAGACAGGGTGCGGGGAAGTTCGGGGTTCCGGTTTTGATTGATAAGTGATGCGTTCCATTTTCATGAATGGGCATATACATAATTGTTCTTAAGTAACCGGAGCGCTTTGTTTTCAGGAAATATAAATTCACGGTTCAGTAGTCCAGAGCTCAGGGGAGATGTTAATTCTTCTAAGGGAAGAGGGGAAGTCTAAGGGCTGAGGAAGGGCATATAAGATGCGTTATTCTTTTCAAAGTTCTCCTTATTGGGGCACCCCCTTAGTGGATTGTTCTCACTTTTTGAACACTGCTGCCCCGTTTCTTTTTCTTCCTATGTTACATTTCTAGCCAGACTTTCTTCCTCTTGCAGCTTGTATCACTAAACGGTTCATATCGCTCCACTCCGGTCCATTTTATCCTTCACAGAAGCCACTCTGCAAACCTGGTGAGGACGAAAGCCTCGAACCGGCCCAAGTCACCCAGCAAGCTCCATGCCTGAGCGGGAACTAGAACCCAGGTCGCCTGAGTCCCCAGCCCAACACTCTAACCACTACACCACACTGCCTCTCATTATGCATCACATGCATGGCCACTAAACAATGAGGCAGGTGTCCTAAACCCGCATTCACACCTGATTCTATTCCGGATTGGCAGGAGGCGCCTTGGACTCACCTGTCACACCGCCTGTGGTGAGAAGCACCAGAAACCAAGTCCCAGCCAGCCTTCCCATCTTCCAAAGTTTCACTTTCCTGCCTTCACAACTGAGCTCCTTGACTCTCCTATGCCCAGGAGTGAAGTAAACACAACTTCCTTATCTTCGCTTGCTTTATTATCCTTCCTTTTTCTTCTTCTTCTTCTTCTTTTTTTACGCATCTTGCGTTTTGCTAAATGTTTCAGAAAATCACAGCAAATGCAACAAATGGCAGGAAACTGCAGTGGTTTAAGGTGGGGAAAATCCGGAAGACCCAGGTAATGTTCTCCTTTATTTTTTCTCATTAGTCAGAAATATTTTCAAGCACATGATTTTTCTCACTTGTGTTGCTAAGTTCCAGGGTACCTGTAATGTGTTGAGACTTTGACTTGGCCATTTGTGACAAAAATCAAATACAAAATTTGAGAAAAGGTGGATGTTATTGCACTGATAGTTCATAAAGATATTACCACTTACTTGTTACCTGACATTTCTTTCAGGGGAAAAAAATAGCCTCAGGAGAGCATTTTCAAGATATATTACCAAAAGAATTTGCATTCTATTTTTGTATCTGTCTTCCCCGAAGAAAAATTACATGGAACTTGACTTTTAAACTCACCATTTAGTCTGTGGTCGCTTTCTCCCTTGAGTCTTCCTCTGGAGAATATAAATTGACTGCTATACCATTGAGGCATCTTATGTACAGGTAAATCACACGACCCTAATCTTCTTTGAAAGAGGACCAAAGGTCCTCTGATCCGCCTGAGAAGACAGAAGAGCACATGGCGACCACACCTGAACAGACTTCTGAGGTTTGTTTCTGGGGATGTGGTTGCAGTCTCGGTCATCAGTCTCAGGACCTGGTTCCCTAAAGGAGCGCCTGCGGCCATATTTGCCCGCCCGCCCGCCCCTTGAGATCAGCGGCTGAGGCCCTCCTCCAGGAGCCCTCCGTGAAGGACATTAGGAGGGTGAGTACCCAGAGGAGGGCCTTCTCTGCGGTGGCACCCAACTCATGGAATGTGCTCCCCAGAGAGGTCCGTCTGGTGCCGTCGTTATTTGCTTTTCGGTGCCAGGCCAAGACCTTTTTATTTAAACGTTATTTTAATAATTGCTGATTTATTTATTGGTTTTAAATTATTATGCCAGGAGGTTTCCAGTTTTTTATGTATTTGTACTGATATTTATTTATGTGTTGGAAGCCGCCCCGAGGCGTATGCGAATGGGGTGGCATACAAGTATCCCAAATAAATAATAAATCTTTTGACTGGAGCTACTTGGGAAATCCTTCCAGGGTCTTCACACTGACCTGGTTTCCACATCATGGACAATACTTGGGTTGCATAGCCCAGGAGCTGGCGGGAGTGCGCATTCACCACCAACTCTTCCACCACCTCTGCGGTCTGGGTTCGTGTGTCACAAAGCAGAGCGAGGTTCCTGCGTTTCTGATTTGAAGTGGAAGTGGCCCACCCACTCTGGCATGCTCACAAGCAACCCACGGAGAGAAAAGCACCTTGCGGATGGGGGCCAGTGAGTCAGTGCGGCCTTGGGCACACCTCCAAAGAAGAAAGGCAGAGGAGGGGAGCAAGTCACCTCAGAGCTGCATGCGCTAATTTATATGCACAGATGCAAATATGGAAGTATTGATTACAGTTTCACTAGAAATGCAGCACATCTCCCCATAGGTGCAAGCTTGGAACCAAGCATCTGCCTATTGCGGTGCTAACTCATCCTTCTGGATTTTCATCTTTAAATTGGTTCGGAGCAGGCAGCCCTTATAAAGGCAATCCATCCTCCCTCCAGCACGGAGTTAAGCTGCTGTTGCAGGAAAACACACCGACTAATGTACCTAGAGGGGAAAATCTCCTCTCTGCATTCATTTTTAGGTACTCGCACCACCTCATCAGAGGGCTTTTCCCAAGGAAAACAAGGACTTTAGGAGTAGCCCAATTTGCAGACACAAAGATCGTGGTTTCTTCCAGCCCAGGAAAGGCTCAGCCTCCAGACTCCCGTGGATCAGGCTGCATACAAGATACAGTGGTGGGCCCGGCCTGGATTTACCATGTCAGCTGACAACACCAATATTCATATCGATATTGATCATTTCTGAACTGCCCAATAGTCAAAGCTCACAACAATTTATCACAATGCAGTAATAAAAATACAGAGGATGCACTGCAAATGCAATAAAACAGAGTGTGAAATCCCAGTATACGATTTTAAAACAGCTTAAACATCCAGAGCTGTTTCAATAAAAGCTAGACCCACCGAGGCAGCTGACGGCCCCATTCTAGGCACACAGGGCCAAAGGGGACGTCAGAGTCTCTTTCCTGACGGCCAGGTGCTTTGCTCTCTCTCCATGGCTGGGACACATGGCCGAAATCTTGTGCCTGAGGGTATCACAATGGGGAGAGCAACTGTGGCTCCAGCAGGTCAGGGCCCCACAAGACCAGTAAATTCTCCCCGCCCAACAGGAGGCAGGCCCAATCTCACTTTGCATAGAAAAGAGAGAACAAGAATGAGGGCGTGCTCCCAGAGGGTCCCACAGCAGATGCCCTGCAAAATTCTGGAGCCAGGATTTTAAAAGCCAAGATGCTGACACAGTGCAAAAAGAATGCACGTGTCATTCTAGTGTGATTCATGCCCAAATTTCATTCTCTGTAATTGGTGAAAGGGAAGCCCACACCCGCCTTCGCAGCGAGGTTGCGACAGAGCCGCCTCAAAAGGGGAAGCTGAGGGCATCCTTGTTCCATAAAAGTGCCTTCTAAGGAAACGCATTTTTAAACTGCAGCTGATGCCCAAGCCAGCTTCAGTAGTTCCACATCGCAGTCACCTATTCCCCCCAAGTATGCACTTTTCATTCTCTTTATTTTTAGCACATTAATCTGGGTGTTTTATTACATGCCTCTCAAATACATTAACCGAAGTGGTTATCAGTCAAATGTGGGTCCTACAAGAGCCGCCACACTGGGAGAAAAGCATGTAACCTCTCTTGTCCGGAAGAGAGAAACAAGGTTCAAGGTGATCTTGATGGGTTGCCACGCTCGGCTGAAAACAACAGAATGAAAATCAGATGGGACCAATGCGGAGCTCTGGATCCAGGAAAAAGAAACCAAATGCCTCATGACGAGATGAGGAATACTTGGCTCAACAATACTGCAGTTGTAAACAGAAGACCGCCAGAAGAAGCTAATGACAAATGGAAATTTTATTGTGCTTAGCATGAATAATGGAAGTTTGGGGGTGTTTGGAAAAGAAAAAGAAAAGCAGTATCTTTTCTATATTCTTTGATTCTATATTCTTTGATGTATAGAATAATCATTTATTTTCTATAAACTCTCATAGAGCATGGGAAAATCAGAAAAGAGTCAGCTGGGCAGATTTGTAATAGAGGCTGTATCCGTTTAAAATTCCCTTGGCAATTTTGTCTATTTTCACTATTTTGTCCACTTTGCTCTGTTCTGTTTATACTAGTGTTTTCCATTCTATATTTTTCTATGTATTTAAATAAAAATTTAAAGAACAAAACAATCCTGTTTTTGGGAGGATTTTGGAACTGTTGCAGATCACATGTGCCAGTCAAGTGTGATGTGGCTGCAGAAACGGCAGGTGCTATTTTGGACTGCATTCATAGAAGTATCACTTCCAAATCATGTGAAGGGCTAGTTCCACTTTACTCTGGCCTGGTGAGGCCTCATCTGGAGTCCTTGTCCAGTTCTGGGCACCACAGTTTAAGAAATATGCAGACCAGCCTGGAAAGGGTTCAGAGGAGGGCACCCAGGGCGATCCAATGCCTGGAATCAAAGCCCTGTGAGGAGAGATGGAAGGACTGGCCATGTTTAACCTCAAGAAGACAAGACTGAGGGGAGATAGGATGGCGTTGGACAAGTACTTGCCATGAAGAGGAAGGTCAGGACCATCCTTTTGGTCATCCCAGAGTGCAGGACACAGAATAACGCGCTCAGATTACAGGAAACCGGGATGCAGCTAAATATCATGGAGAACTTCCTGACTCTTAGAGCATCACGGCGGTGGAACCAACTGGAATGAAGCAGCATCCCGGGAAAGGGGCTTTAACCCTTTCCCCTCTGTGCCATTCTCCTTACCTGGCCCTGCACCCTACTAAGCTGTTAATATTTTGGTTCTCCCCCGAGAGCCAAAACACAATCCAAGCCTCTCCCCACACATAATCTTAAAGGGGGCCCATTCAGGTGACCCTTCCGTCAGTTACTGTAAGTCATCAAGCAGAATGAAGCAGGTATGCAGCTGTGCCTTTAGGACCAGTCCAGATTTGCAGAAGACCAATGGGAGGAGCGGCTTAGAAGGGATTGAGGGATCCACCAGCCATTGTCCCGTCCGCCTTGATGCTGGCTCCAGGCTCAACACGGCACCTGCTGGGAGGAGGAGGAGGAGGAGAACTGTCCCTCCACACACCTTCATTCCAGCTGAGGAAAGCCAACCCTGCCAGACACAGCAAAAGTTTGCCTGTTTTGAGCCGCTTCACGCAAAACTGACACCATCAGTGTCCCCCTTGCCAGCAGAAGGCCGAGGGCATTCCAAGAGGAACGGTTCTCCGCCGCCCCGTCTGCCAAGCCCTCTTCCTGACACAGCTTTAACCAAATTGCAACCGTCAGCTGTTCAATGTATTTAGCACAGTACAGAAAGCTCCAAAATGTAGGTTGTCGTTAGAAAAATAGGAAGCATGTTTTCATGCTTGGATGGAATAAGAATGTTCAGTGCTTCTTCAACCTGACAAACTAAAGAAACGATTAACTGCATTGCCGTTTCTCCCTTTTTCAACTCGCTCTTGACCCTGGCACCAAAAAAGACACAAGCAAAAAGAACTCCAAAACAAAAGACTGGCTTACACAATCCAGGAATAAAGAGAGTTGCCCCAGCAAAATGCAAGTTTGCAGTTGTGTCATGCTATTGAAGTGTGTTCAGCTTGTGACTAACAGCCCATTCTGAGCGTTGTCACATCCTAGCGCTGCGGATTTGCATATTTCACATTTCCCTAAATGCAGGATTTTGCATTTGCTTTCCTTGCATTTCCATTTGTTAGCTCTACCTTCATTTTCCATTCCAGTGAGGCTGTCCTACGAACAACGCAAGAGCCATGCTGGATTAGGGTCCATCCCATCCAGTACTGTGTTCAGAGGGTGGCAAAGCAGCTGCCCCAGGATCCCTCCAACAGGATGGGTGCAAGACCTCCTCCTGCCCAAGCCCCTCAGCAGCTGGTGTGAGCAGGCAGGCCACCTCTGGTCAAAAGGTGGCCCAAAGCCAGCAAGGCTAGCAGCCACGGAGATGGCTTCCTCCTCCATGAATTTGGCGGATCCCTCTCTTAAAGCCTTCCACAGCGGTGGCCATCCAAGTGAGTGTCTGGTGCTTTATTCCATACACTGCAGTCTCCTCTGTGGTTTTTGTCACCCCGCCCGCCCCCAGCCTTTCACCGACGTCATTAAAATGTTGAGGAGCACCGGGCATGGAAGAAAGGATTGCAGCTCCCCAGAGCCTCCCTCCAGTCTGAGGAGACGTCATCAGAGGTCTACTCCACAGAGTAGTTTCCAAGCAGCTCTGAACCCACCTGACCCAGCGTTTAATCCGTTTGCAGAGTTTATTTATTTTTTATTTCTTAAAACATTTCTATGCCGCCCCTTGCTGAAGCCTCGGGGCGGCTCACAACATCCTCAGTTACATCCTCAGTTACAGAAATGCCCCACTCTCTTCCTTCCGGGCAATGCTAGCGCCCCGCAAAGCTTACTTCTGCAAGAGCGGATATACTGCTGCTTTGGCTCCAGACCGTCCAGCACCAGGAAAGGAACAAACGTCTCCGATTTGCACTTTACGGTGACCCTCCTGCTGCTGCAGCGTCACTGCTCTTCACAAAGCAGTTGTGACTCTCGCACCTCTATAAATCCGGATATGAGCCGCCCCGAGGCTTCGGCGAATGGGGCGGCATAGAAATGTTTTAATAAATAAATAATATGGCAGGCGACATCATCTAGAACAAACTGCCTAGGCCAACATGGCATATCCCTAAAAGTAGCTACCATGCCCCTTAGAGTCTGGTGTTTCCAACTGCAAACCAGTTGTTACTGCTGGTAGTAACTGTGTTGCAACCTGCCCTCCATGGATTTCTCTACTTTTTGCAAGCCAAGGGTCAGTGCAGGGAGCTGCCCGTGATTGGCTAAACACGCATGTGGTAGGCATGTCATGAGCGGAGCCAGGAGGCAGACTAGATGGCCCGAGACCCCCTTCTGACTTGGCTCTGCTTCTGTGTTTCTGTATTGCAAGAGCCCTTGGACCAGCAGCAGAGGAGTTGGCCATGGCAACAGGACGGGACAGAGGCCCATCCAGACAAGTGGCACCACATCTTTAATTTGCAGGGTGGACAGAGAACACCTCTGGCCCAGAGAAACTCCCGGCTGTAATTCCAGCATCTCTATTACCACACGGGTAGGGAAATTCCGGGGGCCAAGCCTTCCCCACCAGCCCATGCCAGGGGAGGACACACCGCTGCTGCTTTTCCCGCTGAAATTCTGCAGCAGCACCGTTGCTTCAATGGGGAAGCCGCTCCCATTAAAAACCTTCCCCGCCGCGACTGCACCACCGGATCGCTCCCCACTGCAGCGCACGCAACAGTGCGGAGGAGGGCTTGAAGCGACCCGGGAAAACTGCACTGCCCGCCCCAGCATAACTGGGTCTGAGGGAGGAAGCCTGCACTCGCTCTCTGCCGGAGGCCGTGAAGAGCTGCTGCCGGTCAAAGCAGGCAGTCTCGGTTCGATGGACCACGGCTCTGCCCAGCTCATGTGCCCACACCCCCTCGAGCCGCCTAGCTGTGCCCAGGCCAGGGCCAAGCAAGGCGTGCAACGGCTCCGGTCACTGCAGAGGCTGCCTGGAGCTCCGCCGCCAGTTCGCGAAGGCCAGCTCCCCAAGCTCCAACCCAAGAGAAGCACCACCGCCCAGAGTCCTCGGGTGCCTTCGCCCTCCTCGCCACCCGCTCTGGACGCTTTCCCACAGTGGTGCCGCACCCCAGCAAGCCTTTGGAGGCTGAAGCCGGAGGCCTCGCAGCTCCACATCAGCTCATTTGCTTTGGCCTAGAGACAGACACACACGGAGATCTGCTGGACAGATAAGCCTGGAATTTAATTGCTTGGGCAAGTTCCTCCTGTTCGCATCTGGATTATGTCCATGACAAGTGGTTGCAGAATTTGACACTTTACAAAGAAAAAAAAAACAGTGGCGGGATATTTTTGCCTGTCGACATGAAATGCTTAAGTTGGAATTAATTCGACTAAACAAAACATACACGAATGGAAGAAATCCGAATCTAGGATGAGTGCTGTAGTTCAGCAGGAGTTGACATGCAAATGTCCACAAAGAGAAGTACCAGCAGGATTTTATATGACTCCCCCCCCCCCCCAAGGGAGAAAAGGGAATAGTAAAAGAGCAGAAGTGGTCTCTGCAAGCTGGAGAGAGAACTATGATCAAACACGAAGTCCTGGACTAAAACCACGACCGCAGCTTGTTTTGCAGCACCTCAGCTTTTCAATGGGCCTACAACAAATCTGAGCTAAGCTGACTCAAGGCCAGAAAGCCGGTTTTCTGGCACCTGAAGTAAAGTACCGACAACAACCCCCCCTTTTTATTCGGAAGGCCGTATTGCAAGACCTCAGAATTGCTGTGCGCGGTGCAGGGCATCAGTAGGTCGGTTTCCCCCCTGCTGTTCCTCATCAACATGTTCCTGGTGCGCACTTGAAAGACTGTGGGTTGAGCTCCCCTCTGGCACACAGCAGAGAGGGTCTGGTCCTGCCAACAGCAGCACCGGGCTTTGCCTGCCATGCAGAGTTTGGGGAAGGTGACCGAACTCTATGAGGAAGGCATCCAATTAAGAGGGCAACGTGCCAAATGGGTTACAGCCCTGATTTGCAGCCCTCTGAATATGAAGTCAGAGAGCGACCAAGCACTACATAATGGCCTTCAGAAGTGCACGTCCAGGAGATACTGAGCAGAGACACGTCAGCGGACTCCTTAAGCCTTTGGTCCAAGACTCGTAAGAAGGGCAAATTGAAATGCCAAGGCAACATTTGGTTTTGCTTCTCTTGGGTCTCACTGCCAATGTAAAGGATCCGTGATTTGTGGAAAGCATACAAGGGCGGAGAAGTCTGGCATGCATGGAAACCAGCTTTGTTTGCAACGTATCTAATAACCAACATTGTGAACCCACGGCAATTTCACTTTAAGTAGGCGAGTTAAAAATATATTGTTTTCCATAGGAAACAGAAATTGCTTATATTGATATCTAGAGGCAAATCTAAGATAACATACATATACATAAATAAAATCCATAAAGTATAATGTAACCAAGGACAAAACCGTAGCAGTGATGCCTGTAGCAAGAAAAGGAAGGAAAATGCATTTGATATAAAAAACAAACAAACAAATTCCAACAGACTGCGAACCACTTCTAAAGCAAAATTTCAGAAGAAAATAAATGTGGTTTTGCAGTACTGGATGTCATGAGACTAGGTAGCTTAAAAACCAATATATTCCTATGCAAACTTTACACGCAGTTAAAACAGTCGCCCCATTAATAGAATATCTGTGTATAAAATAATTTAAAAGCAGAGAAAAATTTGCTCTTTTCTGCCTTTAAAAAAAAAAAAATCAGTGCAGCAAAGCTGGCTGTGCAGCTGCCTCCGTCAAATTGCAAAGTTTTGGTAAAAGCGAGCTTTCTCTGTCCACGGAGGATACTGGACTGCCGAGAGAGAGAGAAAGGACATCAGCCCTCCCTTCAGAGCCTTTCTCAGCAAGGAAGCTGTGTCCCGCAGGTCTTTCTTTTCATGCGGTTTACGATGTGTCTATTTCCGAGGCCTCTTCTATGAAATTTGCAACAGGACTGAGAAGCAGGAGGGGGAAAAGTTTATAGTCCCCGTTTGTGTCTTCTGAGAGGAGAGGCTGATCCAGGGGCTCGAAAGGAAGGGAGCCTTCGCCCTGGTTTTCTGAGTCCAAGACCTGCTGAGGCAACTCACTGCTCAAAGGGAGAGGCGGGGAAGGCCTGTTCTCCAACGAAACCAGGAGTGTGTCTTTGGCATCTTCCGTCTTGCCCGTGACGTCGCTGGCAGGCGGCTCTTCGAAGAGGGAAATTAAAGGGTTCCCTCTGTACTGGATCAGCTGCATGTCTGCAGGGGAAAATCCATCCGTTATTAGGAAGGCTCAGTGCTGCGTCTCACTTGCAAGATGAGCAAGCGACAGGGATTATTCACTCGAAAGGCTACACACAACGGCGCCAGACAGAACCTGCCTGTTGCCTCAGACCTAACAGAGAAGCTGAATAACGTGGGATGGGTACAGAAAAGAGGAGAAAGAAAGAAAGAAAGAAAGAAAGAAAGAAAGAAAGAAAGAAAGAAAGAAAGAAAGAAAGAAAGAAAGAAAGAAAGAAAGAAAGAAGGAAAGAAGGAAGGAAGGAAGGAAGGAAGGAAGGAAGGAAGGAAGGAAGGAAGGAAGGAAGGAAGGAAGGACGGAAGGACGGAAGGACGGAAGGACGGAAGGACGGACAGAAAGACAGGATCCTTCCTTCATGAGAATTTGCAGTAGGAACAGAGAAAGGCGCCATGCATTGCATGCAGGGGGCTTTCCCTCGCCAACCCAGAATTCTCCTAATGTAAAGGAGGTTTAGGTTAGTATTTTCACCTTGCTTTTCCACAAATGCAATCAAAGCGGCATATGGAACAAGCTAATTCAAGACTGAAAGGAAGCAGCACTAAAGCCATTGTTATGCTACAGCAAGGAAAGTTGAGCCCCAAATACCTGGCTAACCAAACAAGGCTCCAAACCCCGTGTAGAAAAGAGAACCCAGGGGTTGCGCGACTTCCCAGCATTCCACAGCCACAGTGCCACTGCCAGGAAGGCCCTGATGCTGGCGCGGGCCAGCTCCCTCCCCGTCCAGTGGGGAGCAAGTCACAGGACATCACCCAGAGGTGGATCTTCAGTCCTGGGCAGGGCCACACCGCTGAAAGCAGCCCTAAAGCGAGCTGGCCTGAGGCTTTCAAGAGCTCTGAAGCACCGTATCAGCCCGGAAACCAACAGGTAAGCAATGGGGCTGACCTACAGATTGCTGCGAGGTCCTCTGGCTGCGGCACAAAAGGCCTGCATTCTGCGGTCGTTGTAGGTTCTGGACCACTGCAGGAGCCCTCCCTGGAAGGAGCTCGGCATGTGGACTGAGGCCAGATCCGATTTCCCCAGGTAGAGTCACAACAGGATCACCTTTTGTTACGTAAGCACTTCTGCTGCGTGGTCTCCCGATGCTCCCTGCACTTTACGCTGCCTGGGTAACAGCCGAGTAAGATAAGCCCAGGAGAAGGGGCAGCGTGGATGCTTTTAAGCACATTCAGTAGGAGACAAATCCATTAAATAAACAAACAAGCATCCCATGCTGAGCAGAGGCCTTCCAAGCTTCCACAGACCATGAGGCCAGCTAAGGGTAGGAAGAATGTGAGGAAATGAACCCCCAAATTTGACTCCCCTCCCCTAAATCAGGATGAGCACGAAGCAGAGCTCCAGATGATCTGGGCTCAACCCCCTCGCCTTCCTGACTGCTGGGCACGCTGGTAAGGGCGCCCGAGTGCTCAAGTGGAAATTCCTGAACACCAACCAATGCCTGTCCCTGCCCTGAATTCAGCAGAAAGGTACGGGGGTCAAACGGAGAAAGGGCTGCACGACTTCAGAGAGCAATCCATCGTGTCGGTTTTGGTGAGCAGCAGGATTCTCGGCAAGGTTTAAAGAGCCCTTTGGGTGCGTTCAAGACCAATTTAAAAGAACAAACACCAGCACACCTGAGAACATTGGGAAAAGACTGCAACAGCTACCACAGGCAGCACTTTTCCTTTTTTTAGGTCAGGAGACTTGTGGCTTTGGCAAGCATGCCCAGTGAACAGACCATTCAAGCCTACTGACAACGAAGCCACGGGGTGTGTAAAAACCAGCACGCTGACACAAGTACGGGTGCAAGGACAAGGGCAGGCTCTCTCCCAAAAGAGCGGCGCTGTTGACACGCACGTTTAGCTCTTGCAGGTTGCAGCAGGTACCTGAGAATGAATCAGGGTTCCAAAGTCATTCACCATTTCCCCAACTGCTCACCGTTCTTCTCCAATGCTTCCTGCTCGTTCATCCCAGCGGAGCCTAAGCTTTCTGGCAGATCCTCTGCCTGGAGAGAAACGGACAGACAGGTAACTTGCAAGACCTCCTTTTCAATCGTTTGCTTTGTTTTCTTTACAAACACTGGTATTAATTCACTCCACGTGGATTCACAAACACAAGAACACTTAAAGCTGTTCTCATTGCAATCCATGGGACCTGACTGCACTTCTCCCGGCTGGATTGCGCCCCAAGCCTTCCTAATGCAATGGGCCACTTTGCCATGCCAGGAACTAACAAATCCCACGTGAATCGTGTGTTACAGAACTACTGAATTATGTTTACTTTAATAGAATTGATTTGGGCACGGAGGCACATCCACTGAATCTTGTTTCTGGTGTCAATAGCGGACGGCACGCCAGGTCGTCTTCGCGACTTCACCCAGAGCACTCCTGTGCGCTTGCTGAAGCTGCAAAGGCCCCAGGACTGAGGACGCCTGGCCCATGTCCATAATTCCCTCTACATTTCCAGTATTTTCTGTGAATAATCGTCTTAAGGGGGGCTGGATCAAATGGTATAAAATTAACTTCACTCCTTGCTACCCTGCCGATGTTGCATTCCTGGAGTTACTGTACAAAACTTTTAACAGACTCCTTCTCTAACACTGTCCTTCCTCCAAGGAGCTCATCCTTTCATCCTCAAAACAAGGCCTGCCATGAGGACCTTGGCAACCGGCCTGAAGTGGCCAGCCAATTTTGGGGTTTAGTGGAAAACTGAACCAGGACCTCCCTCCCTCCCTTTGAAGGCTAGTCTGCTACGAATGACAGAAATTGCTTCTCAGTACACAGGGCTGTAAGTATCTGTGCTACGTGAAAAGCCAAGCTAGAACTGAGGAATCCTGGATTCAGACCCCCACTCCGCTAGCTCTGCCACTGCCTCGCAGCCTGGCCTACCTTGCAGGACTCTTGAGGGGATGAAGGAGGGGGACCAGGGAGAGCAACACACATCCTCTGAGCTCCTTGGAGGAGGGGCAGAAATAGATTTCTACTGCTGACAGGAATGCAATAAAACCCCACACAAACGACAACAATTGGGAAGGTATTTTTAAAAGGCTTAGCAGCATTTCTGGTATTAGGACAAGAGGCATTTGCCCCAAAAACCCCTATGGCAAAGTGAGCCCCCTCTCTGTCCCATTGCAACCCACAACCCAGTAATGGGCTTGCCCGAAGGCCATGGGACTGACCCACTCTGTACAGCACAAGTCTTCAAAACAAGCAGCCCCCAGTTCTCACTCGGTTTGCTACACTGCATTTTGGGAGCCTCCCCCACCCCATTTACGGCTCTCCCTGGGAAACTCGCATGCTGCGTTCCTCCAACACGTCAGACTATAGGGAGCTCTTCCGAGCGACACTCACAACGCCAACGTCGCTGACAGAAGCTGCCAGAGTTTTACTCCAACTAGCAGAATCCATAACATCCTGGAAAAGGAGCTCATTTTAAAAGAAAAGAAATGCACAATCTTTCTTCTAAAAACTTGGTCAACAGGAGAATTCAGATTTGTAAGAGGCCTTTTTGTAATAGTAATCCAGAATTGCTTGCCTCAAACTCTTCCTCTCCTAATTAAGAAGCTGCTACAGATGTTGGGCTTGGAAATCAAATGTCCTCTTCCACATAACTGGACCTTAATACTTTCTGGAGTCGTCATTCTCTCCTCAGAGCCCCACAAGATAATTGCAGCCCCTTATTACCCTGAGTTTTTAAACACTGACATCTAGCACCAGAGAAAAATGAGAAGCTCTGAGCTCTGAACTCCCATCAAGTAACATTTGAGAAACAGGAGTTCAGGGAAAAATGATCCAATTTTGAAGCGTTTTTAATGCATGGATTGTGGTATGGAGCTCCCTCTCATGGCTGGCCCTGAACTTGCCACAGAGTGTCCCAGACCAGTCCCAGATTTTGGGCAAAATCTCCTGGGCAGAGAAAGAAACGTCCACCCTCACACTTCCACAGCAGGCCTAGGTTTCCCGCTCCTTAACAGCTCTTAAAAGAATCTACATTCTAGTAAGAGGGACTACAGTATTCCACACTTGCACTCAATCAGATGCACTCTACAGTTCACAGAAAAAGCAAAGAAATGCACTGAAAACGCTTCAAACAAAGAATCATGGGATGCAAAGGGTAACGGGCAGCACTCAACAGGCGATATCCGGGCTCAAATCTGTGCTCAGCTGTAAAACTAAGTGAACAGCTTAACTTATTAAGCTGTGAAGGGATGGCATGGAATTAGTGCGCTGAGTATTTGGCAGAAATGAAGCCGCAATGAATGCATTTTAGAAACTGGTGCTGCAGCCCTTGAGCAAAATGGCCACCAAGTGTGCAAAACTCAGTGGGATGCAAGACTGGCCGGAAGAACCTGCTTCTGACACAACTCCACCACCCCTGGCCCACCAGTTAAGCTCTGAGGAAAGGCACTCCTGGCCAAGGTAAAGCGGCATCTTCTCTCTGTACTGTACACACACTATCGACCTGGCATGCCGACTCGTCGTAAGTCACTGGAGTAAACATCGAAAAAAGCCATGTAAGCCTTTGAAAAATAAGGATAGCAGGGAAGGGGGGAAACACGGAAGGGGGGCTACGAGAGCAGCCCTCACATTTCAACACCCGGGACCCCGGCACCCACCTACCTTATCTTTCTGTTACCCATGTTACTATACCACATTCTTAATTCTTCAAAATGTTGACAGAAGAACATCTTAAGGATCGTAAGTAAATCTTAAACAAGACTCCAAGTGGGGTGATGACGGGCAGACACACTTCCTTTCATCTGTCCGTCCGCCTGTGTGTCCTGCCCACCCCCCCCCACACACACACACACACTTGTTCCTCTGCTGATGTTTCCCATCCAGCACAGAAATGCAGCAAGCTGCCAGGGAAGAAACAGACCGTTTTGTTCTTTTGACAGAAGCTCATGTAGCTCCAGGACAAGGAACAAGAGGCCGCTCTCTCCCCCTATCCGTCCCCCCAGTGCCCTGTTCTGGCAGCTTGCTTGGCCTCCAGTCAGCCCTGAGAGGGAGGGAGGAGAGAAGGGGATGAGCCCAGGGAAGAGGAGCCAAGCGTGGGTCAGACTGACACCTGCTGTGGGCTAGACTGGGACAAGTACCCCACTCCTGTTTTTCACAGCCCCTGACAACTCATCAAAGCCATAAAGCAGCCTACAATTCTTCCAAGAAATGGGCTTTAAATGTTCAGATGACATCAAGCATTTAAACTACATTGAAACAAGTTCAAAACCAGTTTAATTACTGTTATTTTCCTGAAGTACTCAAGAAGCAGCACATTAACAATTTTATGTGAATTATAGTTCTTTCGGTTTCTTGGTTGGGAGCTATGACAGTTAAATAGGATCGCATTTAGTTAACCGTGCAAAATGACTGGATGAAATGACTGGAACGATCAGTGCAGAATTGCAGTATCCCAGAGAGCCAACTCCTCCCTCCCTCCCTCCCTCCCTCCCACACGCACACTCGTTTTCTACAGTTCTTATGTTATAGCAATGATGCTATGACTATGCAACTCAATACTGCACCGTTTCATCACAAAGGAATTAGCATCAAGACTTGGAATTCAACGCCAGACCCCCACAGCCCTGGCCAGCTACTTGCTCCTGCCCCCTTTTCTGAGAACTGAAAAAGCCCTCAACACGTACATTTTCCAAGCTGGGAGGGACATCCGACAGGTTCATCTCTGTTGCAGGGAGCTCAGGGCTGAAGGCCTAAAAGCAGCAGTCAAGGACAGGAGAGACATGGAGAATTGTATGTTATGGTTGGTGAACAGCATTTGATCCTCTAAAACAACTGCCCCTAATCAATCAGGCAACATCTGTTTCATGGGCATAAAAGCCTGCCAACAGCAGGAAGATGTTTCTCCCGCCACTCCCCTCTTTCACTGGAAGAAAAACCTCTCCTGTGAAAGGATCGGCCAAGGCGCCAGAGCTGCCGTCTAACAACGAAGAAAATGTGTCCATCTCTTAAAACCAAAGTTTCTGTAATGGTTCAATTCCAGGCAACTGTACAATCGACTAAGATGCCTTTAATCCAATCACAGTCCTACAGAGACACAGACCGCATGAATAGTATCAGGGAGAGCCAGTACGGCACAGCGGCAAATGGACTGGCCTCTGATGCCACTACGCACACAGCCACAGGGTCACTGGGTGACTTCAGACCAGCCGCTGCCTCTCGGCCTGGGAACGGGGCTTCGTATGCACCTCGGCTTGATTGCACGAGGAAACAATGAGGGATGCCAGGGTAACAAATAAATATTCCAGGTGCAATCACAGCAGCACCCAAGGCTCAAGAGATGAACTTCAATACTGGGATACACCTCCCTGTGTATATAATTACACGGTAGAATGAGTTTTGATTTTACTTTTACTGGTGTTTTATTCATACGGAGATGCCCAGGCTTGTGTTCCTGCTAGCAGACATTCAGCAAGGCATCTCCCCAGCGGCAACCTGAATGTGGTCAGAGTGCAACCGATCGAACGCATCCACCCCGTGCCCATTCCCTGGGAAAGCCCTGCAAGCCGACAGCACCCGTCCTGCACAGGCCCCGTGCGCACAACGTGGGCCCCATGAACTCGGGGGGCACGGAGGGCATGTGCAGCCAGGGCCTCTGAGGGCAGGACTCTAAGCATGCCCACCTGGACGCCGAAGCCAGGCACGAGAGAGCGGGCCAAGCCAAGTCCTGCCCGTGGGAGGGACGGGACGGGGGCACACCTGCAAGGACTAGTTACCTGACCCCCCCCGTGGTCTAGCTGGGGTTTCAGGGTACTTTTCTGAGTCACAGAGGCAGCTTTCGCCTCTGGGCGGCTGTGAGCCAGCAGCTTTAGGACTTCGGCTCACATGAGATGCACAGCTTTAGACATCTAAGATTCACACCACATAAAGATGAACTCACTTCGGTAAGCGTGTCTGCGGCATAATTAAATTTCTTTCCAGACAGCATTGCTTGGAGCTCCTCCAGGCTCGCATCGATACAGTTCAAGAAGTCTTGGATCTCTGCCCTGTGAAAGGAAGGGGCAGATGGAGAATCAAAACAGCAATGGCGAAGGGTTCTGGCAAGCGCGGCCCAGCGGGAGCAGAGAATGAGGGCAATGGAGGACATCCTTGTCTACAGAAGAGCCAAGCCTCACCAAAAGAGCACCACTTGGCACGCCAGCAGTCACAGGTGCCCCACTTAAGAGACTCCAGGCAGCGCAGCTGGGATCCTTGCCAAGAACACTGGACCAGGCAGCCTTTTCTATGATCCAAACAAGCAACTTATGCTCTTCAGCATTCACGCTGCCCCAGGATTACTGAATGCAGAATCGCATGCCGAAAAGAATGCAAGGAAAGCGTGCCCTTCAATTCAACCCGCTGGTGGAACAAGGCGACCCTCAGGGGAGGTGGCAGGTAGACCATGCCGGACCAAGGGAGCTCGCCCGTGGGACACATGTGCCAGAATGCCCAATGAAGTGAGCTGTTTCTAAACCCTGCATGCTCATGTGCCTAGAGGTGACCCCAACTCCGTGGCCAGCCACCCCACTCCAACTGCCCTTCAACAGAGATACAGTTATGGACATCTACAAGTCGGCCAACACATTTACAGCTGCTGCAGAAAAATCCCTATTAGTAAAAACAGAGGAGGAGTGTGAGCACAAGTGAGCCTGAGTCCGGGAAGCAGGGCTCTCTTGCAGGACGAGGCCACAGGGCCGCGGGCTGGCCAGAAGAGATTTCTGCCAAGCAGCAGCTTGTTCCCAGGCCCGAGGGGACGCGGCAGAAGGTGCAGCTTGCGCCGGTTGTGGTCTGGCCAGGCAGTGCCCCTCCAAAAGCGGACGCACCTCTCAAGCAAGGAATCACTCTGCGCCACGGTCTGGTTCTCGCTCAGGATGGAGTCTATCACAGCGGCAGGGTCTTCGGCAGCGCCGCCTTGGGCAGGATGCAGCTCCACAGCGTTCGCCGTGCAGGAGGCATCCCTGAGCTGGACGGGGCGGGCGCCTTCCGACAACTTCGCGTCAGGCGTCCACAGCACTCCGCAGGGAGCAGCAGTTTCTCCTGCAGGTGCCTGGGCCTCCCTGCAAAGCACAGCCACAAGCCGATTAGGAAGCCGTGTCCGTCGACGTTTCCCTTGCATACAATGCACTCAGACTAAACCATCCGCAAACCCAAACCATGCTGAGGGGAGGGAAGGGGAGAGGCTGGAGCCAACAGCTTGCCCTTATACCCAAACAGCACCCTGTCTCCCCCCGCCCCCCGGAGTTCTTCTTGGCCACACAGATGTGCCTAGCTGAAATTTGGGGTGCAAGACTGAAACCTCCACCACTGTACCTCCCAACCCACACTGGAAACACAAGCGCCACAGTTACCGAGAAACAGCTATTTGCAGAGTACAAACACAACGTTCATTTCCACATCCTCACCGATTCCCATTACTCGTGTGCACTAGGGCCAGCAGCTTCTCTGTGCCACCATCCTCTTCCTCCTCCTCTTCCTCCTCCTCTTCCTGAGCATCCGTGATGTCACGAATTATAATGGAGTCTTCGCAGTCTGGACTGTGCTCCGAAATGGCCGCCTAAGGATACCCAAGGCACCAGTGAGATAGCCTGTTCTTTATGACATTCTGACTGTCATGATATTCTTCTTACTAAGAGCAGGAGTAACTACTAGGGTCAGCAGGAAATTCATGGGAGTACCGATTAGGTAGGACACAATGTCCTAACGAATAAGTACGAGTCAGATGCAGTTAATCTCCATGGGGGAAAGTCTGCGTGCCTGAATAAGATGTTCCCTGGTATGAGATTAGCAGGGGTGTCGTGCCCAAAGGTAAACCAAAAGGAACCTTACCGCTTCACAATCCTGCACAGGAATGCGGACAAATGGACGGCTGTACTTCGAAGGCGGGGCACTGGAGGAATCAGCCAAAGGTCTATGGGCGGAAGAACATACAAGAGCCAGGCTCTTACGGCATGGCATGTGGAGGAAGAAATAAAAGCGCAAAGGTCCCATCCACAGACAGCTCCATGCAACACGGGGATCACATTCCCCTATATGGGCTCTAGCGAAGACCAGAACATCTCAGGAAACGCTCCTCCTTGGAAATCCTTGGCTCACTTCTGGAGGAAATGAAGTAGCAGAGGCCAGTCGTACAGATGCGCTAGTCTATCAGCAGTTGCTGATTTCTCGCCTCAATTTTACAGCACAGGGAGGTAAGTTCATAAGGCAAGCCCATGGTTTTAATAGCAGCTGAACAAGGCTACAGGGGACTTCACAAGGGGAGCAAGAGGGACCCAGCGAGTGAGACTGGGCCCAGTATGCAAACACCCTGACTGGAAAGAGGTTCATTTGGAGAGCGACTTTGCCCAGCGCAGACTTTAATTTTACCATGCATTTAAACTGAAGACCATTCTCCCTCTATGTCATGTAATACACAGGGAGCACATTCCAGCAGGGAGGGAGAGGCAAAAATTGGGCTAGCATTGGCTATTTCCCAAAAGCCCTGAAGCAGCCCTTCAGAAGCTCAGGTTGGCTCACCTTCTGGCAATGTGAGCCCCTCCCCTCCACCCATGGAAGAAATGACTGTTTCCTTATGTGGAAAATACCTGCATAGGAAAATGTGCCAAAACCACGTGTTTTGCGGTAACACATAAACAGAATCAGGAGGTGCAACCTTTCAGAGAAGCGTAACTGATGCTTTGTGTCTCAGTGCTGTCTCTGCCACATTTAACAGAAGGGGAGACCACATGTTTCAAAAAGAACATTCCATCTGGGAGCAAACCAAAGATGAGAATGCCTTTTATGGGTTCCTGTAGGTGCCAAGAGTACAAAGCAGCAATCAATGTACCTTTTCCTTTTGAGTTCTAGAATGCACTTTCCTCTCATCAAGCCCAGTATAAATTCAAGAATCTAAACAAGAGAGAGAGAGAGAGACCGCAAGAGCGCATTAGGAGCTACATGTTCTCTCGGCCATCAGCACCTAAAGACTGCAGACAGACTGGTGCCCAATTCCAAAGAAACAAGTCTTCAACTTCACTGTTTTCTATGGGCAGCCAATTCCTGGGGACATTTGAAAAATAAGACGCTCAGGAAATGACCCCTCCAGACAGTTAGAGACCAATCCTGCACTCTTTAGGTCTTTTTTCCTCCCTCCAACGTTTCAGCCGCTCCCACTGGGAAGGGGTTGTGTTTTGTTTTTTCTGTTTGTTAACCAACATTTGGCCCAGCCAGTCCCGAGGTCTTGGGGAGATTCCCCCCACTCCTCTTTAGCCTTTTGTACTTCTGCAAACCTCCAGGTTCCCCAAATCTGCCAACTCTTGTTGCTTTGGGTTACAAAATGGTGAGTGCTTTTACCTGAGTTCAGAAATAGAATATTGTTTTGGTTGGATGCCAACAACTTATGGAACTTCATGAAGGCAGGTCCCACAACCCCCCGCCCCCGTAACTTTCCCACATTGCTCAGCAGGATCTCACCCACCCTCTGGTTGGGCTTTTGGGGAGTGGCTATGGGGAGGTGAGGAGAAAAGGGTGGGAATTTGCTTCTCTGAATTCCCTTAAGTCAACCTATCTGAGGATCCAAGCCATCAACAGCTGGAAAGTCCCAGGGGGCAAGAAGGACCCCCACTGCATGGGCTTACTGGTCTGCCCCGAAACACCACAGAGCATCAGAAAGACTGGCACCTTGGACAGCAGCCGCTGCTGCTGACTGTGCTTCTGCCGCAGGTACGCCACTTCCTTCCAGAGAGCCTTGTTTTCCCTGAAAGAAAAGCCACCAAGAGCAGTGAGTAAAGTAAAGGGGAACTTGTTTGGCCTACCCTACACGGATTTCCTAGTTTTTATAACATCCCGCCAGTACTAAACACCACATGCACCAGGTTCACTTCATGGAGGCACATGGAAACATACGCCTAAATAAAATGAAGAGTGAAGGCCACACGCCTGCTCTGTAGAGGGATAACCAAAGGCAAAAGGACCATCCACAGCTTCCTCTCCAGCACGTGTTCCGTGGAGGGCCCCCGTTTGCTGCCTGATCCATGTTCCTTGTGCTGGCCCAGCTGAGCTGGTACATGGGAATTTCCAGAGATACTCCAATTCTGCTCAGTTAGGCTCTCTTCCTCCAGGATGCCTATTTGGGAGCGCCTCTCCTTTTAAAGTGCAAACTAGCAACAACCCTCCAATGTGCCATCTGTCACATTTAAAGAGGCGTTTTGGTGCAGAGAAGGAAAGCTATGGCAGCAACCAAAGAACTGCTGCTAGTAGAGCTGGGAGACCCATCCCCTGCCGGTCGCTCCAAGGTGCTACTCAGACAATGCGGGAGCGGCTCTCCCTGGCGGTGATCTGGGAGAACTCAGCGAAAACAATTCGGGTTTTCTGTTGCTCTTACTGAGCAACTTGCCCACTTCCTCCTTGGACGCATGATGGGGTCAGTCACCACAACCCATCAGGGGCTCAACTGCCCCTAGCACAAGCCGTGGGTTCTCAGGATAACATGCTCCAGAGCAACACCATCTTGTGGAACCCACGCTGGGTTTGGGCTCACCGTGGCTGGTTATAAATGGTGTTTGCAATGTTAGCGTTTCCATATCAGACAACTTCCTGCCTGACTTTCAGCTCTCTCAGGGAACTAGAGCATGGGTTACTTCAGAGACTCTGAATCAGAGACGGGGCATTTGTAGCCCTCCAGATGCTAGGCTTGGGACATCCATCACCCTCGCCACTGGCTATTCCGAGCAGGGCTCGTGGCATTTGTAGGCCAGAACTTCTGGAGGTCCACAATTTGCCCATCCTGGCCTAAATGGAAACACTGAAATGAGAAGTAATTGAGCTGTGAGCATAACAATATGGATACTGTTGATAGATCAGTATAGATCTGCATGGATCAAGCTGCATAGATGAAGCAAACCTGAACAAGTGCGCAAGTTACCACGGTTCTGCAATTTTGTGCTCAATGTTACATTCGCGGTTCTAGACCATTGTGACACAACTCCCTGCAACGACCCCAGTGCAGCACACACGGGCCGTGAGATGCCTCATTAGTGGCCTGGCTGTCCCCGAGCGACGCTGCAGACTCGCAAGAGAAACACTGGCACCTTTTCATACTCGCCAGCTTGATGTCCATGTTGTTTTGCTGTTCTCTCATTTCCTGGACTTCGGAGAGCACTTTGTGCAAGCTCTCTGGGCAGAGCTTCAGATCTTCGGCTCTCACTGCAGAGACCTGGGACAGTATTGGATTGCAAAAGATTTAGCAAAGACAAGGATGAGAACAATATGGATGGATGGATGAAATAAACACCATTAAATAATTCATTAATTAGGAGTAAGGACTGTGGGAAGCAGCCAAATACACTCTTATCTATCACAGAGGAGACCCCAAAGCTAGGAGCCTATACTAACCTGCAGCTCCAGAAGTTGCAGAGAAATGGTACTGAAATATCATAGTGGAAAAATGTTGTTACAGCTACGCACTTATTCTGGAAAGGATGCAGGATAGAGATAGCTCTGAAAGAGTGTGGGAAGCCCCATAGCCCCACTCCATTCAACACACAGTCCAAGAGATTATATATCCAAGGGAACGTGGCCTTTTCCCAATCCCAAAGATTCCCAGTCCCCGGTTAAAACAAACCACCAGTCCCCAAGTTCATAATGGTGCTCTGTTTAAGTATTGAAGCAAAGGCTTCCAAACTTTCACAGAAAGCTTTTCGCGTAACAGGCGATAATAGCTTTCCCCGTTAGAGCTGAACCAGGTCATGATGTCCCTAGTGAAATGTTTCAGAATAGCATTCCTTACGTTCCAAGAGCCAGTGTTCCACAGCGGCCAAAGGAGGAGCTTATGCGCCAGTAAGTCTCCCATGGAAATACCAACTGACCCCAAAAACTCACTAGGTGGATTAGGAAGCCCCAGATCTCTCAGTCTCAGCCTTCCATGCACCTTTACTTTGCAGCACGTCTGCAATGGCTCCTAATACACAGGGCAGGCGCAAATGAGTGATTTCAAAAATCAAAACCAGGTTTTTAAGTACACTCTTCTCCCGGTGATCCATTAACCGTTTTGTCGTGTCCAACCATTTCCCCACCTCTGTAACAGGAAAGGGATGAGAAGGCAGAGTCTAACCTGAGCCCCAGTTCATGGGGCTAATTCCACAATCAGGCTGTGGCGCTTATTAGCTTTCTTGCCACAACACTCTGCTGCCAGGTGCAGATCGGGTGACCCAAGCACTCTTTTGTCATGCCCAGTTTTCATGGTACTGGGCCAATTCTGACATCAGCACCCAGCAGCCTCACCAATGTGGAGATCAAGACAGAGACAGGACGCCTTAGTGAGAACACCTCACCAGATGGACAAAGGAAATACAGACGTGCTCCAAAAGATGCAAATCTATTCAGCCACAGCAAGCCTGATTTGAAGCAATTCTGCCAACTTAGATCTAGTTACTGAGGCGGCTGCATTTGGCTATCAAGATGAGACAGGCTCCCCTCCCCAGGCACTGAGCTCCTGCAGCAGAGGAAGGAAAAATGTTTCCTTACAGACTGTCGGAGGTTCTCTGCTACTGCCTGCAATGCAACTAGAGACAATTTACAAGCAAATGTATGAGCCAAGTCTATCCCCATCCAGCTCATAAACACGGCAGAAAGGGCCAAGGGCCATTTTCCTTGCAGTTACAAGCATTCCTAACTTTACTGTAACAAATGTGTTTACCGACTAATTCCATGCCATGAACAGCTTCCATGGAACACTCGCAAAACATTTTCTTCTCAGGACGGAGGCCCAGTCAAAAAAATCAGAAAGAGGAGACATTTTGTGTGCTACTGCCACTGCAAGCAGCGACTCCACAAGCCAAGCCCACTATTTTACATTTTAAAGGGAGCTGCTGCACCAGTTACTGTGCCAAGAGGTACCGGGTGGCCGCCACATTCGACTCGGTCTTGAATCCCCGCTGCACGCAAAAGCGTAAAGGTGAAAGGAATGCCATTTCCTTCTCCGGTGGATCACTTTTGCCAGCGCTCTCTGCTGTGACCTGTCCGTCTTGGGTGGCCCTGCACGGCACGGCTCTTAGCTTCATTGAGCTACGCAAGCCCCTTCACCACGGCGAGGCAGTGATCCACAAAGGCATTCAAGGGTGGTACAAAAAGTAAAAGAGAAAGGAGAAGCTGCGTTCACGCCAGCAGCCAAGATTTTACTTATTTTGCTTATGATAAGATAGCAGCACATGTTAAGATATTCCTGACGAACTGAGTGCATTCTGCCACATCTATATACTTGGCTTTATTGGCTCAAACAGCTAGAGGTCCGAATGCGCTATGAACTGAAGCGAGAGGGACTCTCTAAAAAGGGGGGATCAAGAAAATGGGGTAAGCTATTCAGAACTCATGCCAAAACCAGTACTTTTCATACAAGGGTAACATTTTGAAAGATGGGGAAGAGGATTGAAAGCAGAGGTTGAAAGAATGGTTTGCTGATCTAAAAGGCACTCTTAACAAAGCCTCTGCAATCAATCAAGGAAACACCTTTGGTGAAGAACTTCAAAGACCTAAAACAACTGCCTGGGAAACGAGATGGAGAATTCTGATGCTCCTGATGGGCAAACACTTTTGTAAAGAGCTAAAACATAAATACCAACATACCTAATAGTGAAACGTGCTGGACTGAATGTGCTCAGCTAAGAACAAGTGGAAGATTTTTCTTTTACTTCAACTCTCTGAGTTCAGAAATGCAATCAGGGTCACCAATATAATTAAGTGTTCTTTGCAATAAAAATGGCTAAACTCTGAATGCTGAAAATGAATACTGTGGAGGGCTGCAGGAGCCAATGATGGATCAAGCTTACATCCAAAGCACTTGCAAAAAGGAAAGAGCATAATACACTGGGGATTTAAGCACTGCTCCTGGCACCTCACTGGCAAAGCGGTGCCATCCTATCTGCTCCTTGTGCGTGTGCATGCAAGTCACAGCGGCCACCTTTAACGCCAGAGATTTTCAGTGCACTGCAAAATGGAAACAATACCTTCCGTTTTATGTTTCCCAACAAGTTGGCTTTCCCTCGCTTGAAAAACGGGTGCTGAAACTCAATGGCAGAGTTCTTGTCGGAGGTCATCATGCCATTCTCCAGGGCAATCACCTTCCTGAAGCCGTCTGTGGACACATTGAGGAAGATCAGAGTCCTGGACTCTCCCAGATCTTAGCCCTTTTCTCTTAACTGTGCCTCTATGTATGCTCCAGGAGTAGACAACCTCAGACATTTTATTTTTTGATTTATATCCTGCCTTTTTCCTACAAAGGGCTCAAGGCAGCTTACACCATTCTCCTCCTCCATCTTATCCCCACAACAACCCTGTGAGGTAGGTTGGGCTGAGAGTCTGTGACTGGCCCAGAGTCACCCAGTTGGCTCCATGGCTGAGCGGGGACTCGAACCCGGATCGTCCAAGTCCCAGTCCCACGCTCTGAACCACGACACCACACTGGCTCTCCATTGTTACTGGACCCAGTTCCCATAAGCCCCAGCCGACATGGCCAATGGTGAGGGATGCCAACAGACATGGGCTAGAGTGCCTTCTTCAGCCTCAGGATCAAACCCAGTTTAGCCCAATGAGCTTGAAATGTCCTCAGTTTCCTTCCCTTGGTACACATGCCTTTGGCTGGAGTTTATAAGCAGGAGAAACACTCGCTTACGTTTTGTTTAAGCTTTACAAACATCTGCAAATATTGTAGCCAAAGCAAGCAGAGGATTAACGTCCACACCAGGAGCAGTGCCTCAACACGACTGCTTTCAATTCTCTGCTGGAAGAAGTCTGTTTAGGTGACCTTTACATCTCCATGCAAATTCTGCCCAGGACCAAAATTATGGGATAATGGATGATCCCTATTTTGTTTTTTTAGCAAATGGAACCCTCTGTGTTCATATTATTAACTAAATGGGCATTCAGGGAGAAAACTGTAATACCCTGTAGAGGCGTTCATACTCACAGATGTTGAGCTGACGAATGAAGCTGGACAAGTTGTTGTGTTTGAAGTATTTGGGGAGCAGCTCTTTCGCAAATCTTTGCTCATCCAGAATGCAAAAGTTCTGACCATTCTAGAAGAAGAGAGAGGAAAACAGAACAGTAAGGAACAGAAACTAAACATTTCTGAATCTAAGTGTGTTAAAGAGGGATGGTTCTTCCCAACTGTCATGGGGAAGAATGTAAAGTGGGTCTCACTTCTTTGGGAACATGGTGTGAGAGCCACTTCTGGCCCATCTCCTGCTGGGCAAGCGGCTTCTCATTCCAGACCCCACATTCAGCTCCAACCAGGAGTTGCACAATAACTTTGCCATGGAAGATTTTGACTAGCAGGCCTACTCTGGAAGGAGGAGGCTGGACAGCTTGTGCTGTGAGCTTTCTAGTCTCTTTCTGGAAACTAGTTAGCTATACAAAATTGGATTAGTTCAAATATACTCCTACCAACTATGATGCTCAGGAATGTGAAAAAATGATTATATATCATGTACATCTGGCATGTTCAAAAAAATCTTTTTTGCTGCTGGGCAAGTGACTTTTGGAGAACAGCTAGACTTGAAATCCCCAAGTGAACACACACATGAAGCATTTGGCAGCCTTCAAAAAGCTATCTGGTAACCAGATCCAGACCGTTAGTGCTGGGAATATTTCTGTAAAACTGCAGCATTCTGTAAGGCTATGCAGTGCTGCTTGGGTGAACTCCTCCTTAAGTCTTACGGGCTGGATCAACAAATCAGGATAGCAAGGGCCACGGTCCAGAGGACCACCAAACAGCAGAGTAAATCACATCACTGAATCTGGTCCACTTAAAAGTTTTTTTTAAGTAACAACTAAAAACTCTTTACAGAAGCTTTTTTAAGGGAGAAGATACAATAAGAGTGTTGGAGAGAAGTGATGTTTTACAAAAATCAGGTATGCAGATGAAGAATCATAATAAATCTAAATAAAATAAATAAATCTAAAATAAATAAATAAAAAGGGTTTAAACAAATGCAAGTAACAAACAAAACATGCTATAATAGCTAATTATAGCCTGGCATTGAGATCAGATTTCTGAAGGGAAGAAGAAGCCCAGCCCAAATAAGACCAGAAGCCCTATGCAGCAAGGGTTCGATTATTCACCCAGTTCAGATATTAAAGGAATGCTTTAAAGTTATGCCCAGATAGGGAGCACACTGAAAGCAAAACTGGCTTGTTGAGGCCATGCTGACTCATCAGACACAGATCGCCTCCTCTCCCATAATGCAAGAAGGATTAAAAGCCAAATGAGATTAGGCATAATGAGTTTTAACTCAGGATGACAAGTCCAGATCTGCATGCAATGCCCAGCAAAGAGGTACTAATCCAGTCAAAAGCAAGAAAATACACTTTCATAAAACCTCTTCCAGTAAGGAAAATCGAGTGCACTAGCAGGAGCTATTTTTGCTTTTTACAATTTCAACACCAGAATAAGGTGCCTGTGAGAGCTGAACAACCACCTAGATTTTTTTTTTTTTTTTTTGCAAAGCCCAGGTAAGCCTCCAACTGTTTCTATTTCTTGGATGTGGCTATTTGATAACCAGCTGCTTGCAAGTAGTGACAAACAGGTCTCTGAAGAAGGAAACTTGCACTGCATATCCACTCCTTGGGAGTAGAAGGGCAACTTTTTTACACATTTCTTCTAATTGTTTATAAATATGAGACAACTCTTGCTACACTGAAGCATGGCATTCCTAGTCTTGGAAGGAATTTATTTGCAGCATTAGATTTAATGGTGGTGGATGGACATGTTATTGCTCACCCATCAGATATTAAGCCAGCACGACTGTTAGCAGGGGCTGTGAGTGGGGATAATGCCACTTTTGTGGGCAATTCGTTGCATTTTACCAAAAAAGCCTCCACTACCAAATACAGGATCAGTATTGATTCAAGACTAAACAAGTTAAAGCACCACATTACTACAGCTGCACACCTACCGCTCCCTACTTCCTGGCTTGTGTTTTTTGTGGGGAGAGACATAAAAATACATATCTCTTAAAGAGACATACCTAAACTCCACACACTGGCATACCAATGGATTCCACCGAAGTGGCATTTGGCTTTCTCCCTACTGCAGAAAAAAAGACCAGCTCCATGTTATGGAAATGTGCTAGATTCCTTCATCAAGTACCAAGATGCTCGAATGCACAGACCAAGGTGCAATGCACCAGGTGCATGCTACTTTTGCGAAATATGAGCATGCATGGCTTCAGGCACAGACTGAATGCACGTAGGGATCCCTCAACCGAAGCACATGCGGGCATCAGGTGATGCCCCTCCTTACAGTGCTGCAAGGGAGCTGTGAGCTGGCTGCCAGGCGCCCGGCGAACCGTCCTGGCTAACGGGCAGGACAGACATTCAGTGAACAGGGAAGAAACAAAGAGGAGCCGCTGCACAACGCTTTGCACACTGAGCGTGGCTTCCGGACGGACTCGCACAGGACTGTGCCGGCACAGCGAGAGTCGGAAGCGCGGCGGCTTAACTGCGGGGGAGGGCAGAGGCCTGGGCTCGACCCGGGACGCCCCGGGGAAGCTTCCGCCGGGCGGCCCGCGGCAGGAGCAGCGCGCCCCGGGCCCGACGCGGGACAAGGCAGCCGCCCGCGGGAGGGAAGGGAAGGGAAGGGCGCCCCCCGAGAGGCACGCGGCCCCCGCGGCCGCGCATGCGCGCTCACCCGGCCCCACGCGATCACGTCGTCGCTCCCAGAATCCTCCACGAGGGCCCACAGCTTGGCCAGGAACCCGGGCACCGGCGCAGCGCCAGGGCGCCCGGGCTCCGCAGCCGCCGTGGCCGCGGCCTCCGTCGCGCCCGCCTTGCTCATGCCGACCCGCCGCGCGTACGCAGCTCCGCCGGGACGCGCCGCGCACGACGTCCGCGCTGCGTGGAGGCGGGCCCGGCGCCTTGGCGCGGCCGCCCATTGGCTGCCTGCGCCGCCCAGGCCCCGCCCCTCCGAGGGGCGTGCGCCCTTGTTGTGGCTCGCTTCTGGGAAGGGGGCGGAGTCCTCCGCCGGCGGTGACGTCACAGTCTTAAGCTTGTGCTGCCGCTCGGCTTCTTGTGCTCCGAGGGAAGGGAGGCGGGCAGGGCACGGCTCGCCCCGCGGCCGGCGGCTGCGGGTGGACTGGACGGGGCAAGGGGCGCAGGATCCGCGGCAGGAGCGGAAGGCTGCCACTCGCCTGCGATCCGCATCCCGCCTGCCAGCACCGCGGCCTTGCCCAAGCAGGGGGCCAGAAGTGATTCCGCCAAGTCTGGACTCAGCATTTCTGCAGCCAACAAGTTTGCTCTTGTCAACCTTAGTGCCGCAATGAAAAACACACAAAAAATTCAAGCATCCCCTTCTGCTGAGTTTGCGTGACCCAATAAGCTGAGCCCTCATGGATCCCATCCAAAAATGGTGCCCCTTGGCTCCCAGCACAGTGCAACAGCCCTAGTGGAAAATTTAGCCACTATGGGTTGTGAGCCTGGCCAGAATATGGAGAGAACAGGCAGACTCAGCAGCAATCATTTGCTAGCACTGTAGCTTAGTTACAAAAGGCAGCTGAAAATCTGCCCAAATGGGTGGCAATGTTACCCCCAAATTTAAAGTGCAGACCCTTGAAGAGCAGTATTTCGCCTGCCAAGCGCTCTCGCGCTCGCTCGCTCTCTCTCTCTCTCTCTCTCTCTCTCTCTCTCTCTCACACACACACACACACACACACACACATAAAAAACACGCTCTTCCTCCTTCTCTCCAAGGCAATTTCATGTGTTATGCAGCAGGAAACTCCGGTTTGCCATTAACTATATAGGTATGTTTGGACATCCATACGTAACACTTTTAAATGCACTGTTAAAGTCACTTTGGTATAGAAATGCACTGTGCGAAGAAAAGCTCCAGGCCGAAAGGCTCAAGTCTTCCACCTACAGCACCGCAGCTTTTCATGCTCACTTACCACACAATCGGTTATTGCCAGTAGGGTATCATTTCCCCCTGCCTGCCATAAAGGCGTCTATGTCGAACATCACGACGCCCAGTCCATCTCGGCATTTAAAGCTGAAACCGAAAGAAGCATTGGCGCACGGGCATGCTAATGAAGAGTTAATTGCCAAGTGGTTCCATGTGCGGCCCTTGCACAGTGATCGTGTCTTGTGCACTAACCAGTGAGCTAGCGAAATGGGCAGTTCCTCCAGCGTATTGCAGCCAAGCCAGCACACGAGATGAGACATCAGTTGGTTTTATGACTAGTCCTAGACTTTGCCCTCTTTGGGTTTCTGTCATTCTCTTGTGGTTTCTTTGGAGCTTTGGGCGCTAGAGGAAAATGCTCGTGGGACTCTTATTAAGCCGTTCTCAAAGTACCAGCCACTAATCAGCTCTGCTCTTCATCAAAGTAAGGGATCAATTGATTAACTCCTCTATTTAATTGATTTAGGGAAGGGGTTCTTATAGGAAGGGTTGGTAATAAGTCTGCAATCCAAAGAACTAAATACCAATGGATTGCTTCCAAGCAGAATTTCACAGGGCAGTAGATCATAAATTATTCCAGTGGTTCCAAACTGGAGAGGGTGGGACCTTGGAGTTTCTGGGAGGAAGAGCAAAATCCTGGGGGTGGAAAGCACATGGAGCATCGGGAGGGGAGAGTGATTTCCAAAACAGAGGCCCCTGAAGTCTATTGGTGCTTTTCTGTTATGAAGTACAAGGGACGTTTCCCTGTTGCCTATTGAACAAGATGGTCCACAACAACTTAGGAGTGTTTAGCTTAGGAAAAAGGCACAGGAGAAGAAATATGATTGAGGTGCACAGACTTGTGGGAGATATGGAAAAGATGATCTACAAGATCTCTGGCCTCATTACAATAAACGAGACCAAGGACTTCTTCATGCAGTGTATAGTCAAACTATGGAATTCGCTTCCGTGAGATGTCATGCTGGTGACCAGTCTGGATCGCTTTGAAAGAGGACTGGGCGCATTCTGGAGGAGAATGCTCTCCGTGGCTCCAAGTCCCGATGGCTGCACATGATCTCCAGTATCAGAGGCAGTGCACCGTGGGCCAGGCGCTGAGGAGAGGGCAGGGGGGTGCTCTGGCGCTCACAGCCTGCCCGAGGGATCCTGTGGGCAGCCGGTGGCCACCTGTGAATCCCATGCTGGACTGGATGAGTCCGGGGTCCACTCCAGCAGGCCTCTAAGCTATTATGCCCATCCGCTTTTATGGTGATTGGAAGGCGTCCATCCTCTGTTCTGTGGCATCGCAAAGAAACAAAGAAAGAACCGTGGTGCTGCTTCTGCTTCTATCTCATCGTGGTTTCATGTAGCCATCGCGCCACGTTCTGCAGTCAGACGTCACAGCCGCGGTTCCATGCGTCCTGACTTTCAGTGTTGTTAACCCCACTTTTGGGGGGACAGCAGAAGAGCGGAAGTACAGCACCCGCTTCACACACAAAAGCTCCCAGGTTCAGCCAATGGTAGGAACCTGGTAGGAACAGGGAAGGGCCCTGGCCACCCAGAGGAGGGAATTCCAAATGGAAGAGGCCAGTCCAGCGTTGGTGGAAGGCAGTTCCCCATGCTGCTGGTTCACACCAAGCGTTTCCAAAACCTTTCCTCCCTTTCTGCAGATCCTGGCTCCTGAACAAACCTTCCAACAGCTGAGATGGCATCCTGGCAGCAAAGGCTGCAGGCCGTGCTTGGCACCCACTTCCTCCTGTTCGCTTTGGCCAGTGGCGTGACCAGAGTCCACTATCTGGGTATCCACGAAGTGGAGTGGAACTATGCTCCCCTGGGGAAGAATGCAGTCACAGGGCAAGACATCGCCAAGGACGTGTGAGTCTCGTTGCTCAGGCCCCAGCCTAATCTGGTTGCCCGGCTTGCTCTGCCATGGAATGGTCCTGTCCGCCATTCTATCCAGTACCACTGTCCCCCGACCAGTTCTTATCGATGAGGCAGATGGTTGGTCGGCCTCTTTCTTCTGTCTGGGTTCATGAGCCGCACACGCGCACGCACGCACACAAACCCACACACTGTTTGGCCCCCTCTGTGGTCTGACTCATTAACGGTTGTCCACAAACTCACCTCTCACCTGCAGAGAGCAATAAAAAGCACAGCACGATTTGCTTGGACTTGGGACTTGCAGTGGGTGGCTAAACTCTGATAAATGGACTAATAATAGGGGGATGTTACACAGTTTTCTGCTGGATCAGAACCTGATGTGCTCATGGGCATGATCTCCCAATGGAGCAGGGGGCTGAGCAATCGTCGCAACGTTGGCCAGTTTCTGGCAGGTCCCCCATCACCCCTTCTTGGTGACTCGTATTCTTGCAAAGGACTTTGAGCTGGTGGCCCCGGTTACTTTTAGCAAGAGATCCCAGATGGTCCTAAGCAACAGGAGTGCATTCAGAGGTTCCTAAGTACACATGGATTGTGTCTCACCTTTAAGAAATTCTGAAGGTGCATTCTCGCTTTTGCAGATTTAAAATGAATTGATAGGCCAGGGGGAATACCGCCCAAAGACTGAAGTTAGCTCATCTCTGTTCTGCAGTACCACAGAAAGTACAACAAGGGTGCTTCCAGGCGAGGCTTTTGCGGTGCAGTCACCCTCCCTCATTCATGGGATTCTGCGGGTGCCGCCCTACTCCTTCCTTAAAGAAATCCAGGAGGGAGGACAAGGAGGAATTGTTTTTGAACCAGCCATGCTAGGAACCATCCATCTGGTGGCCACGTTATCCATTTTCTGGGATAAAGCTTTTGAAATAAGTCGTTTCCTTCTGTTCTTCTATTTTTCTCAGTTGCCAGAACAATGAAGTTAACCCTCCCCGTGTTAAGAATTTATGTTTAAAATACCTTGAAGCTGGCTAAAGCCGGTATGTGTTGCAGCTCCCCCCTTTCTCATGCGGATTTCGCATCCGGGTGGTCACTGCTGGGCAGCATCCTCAGACAGCAGAGGCTGGGCGGCAGGACAGGTGGTGGGGCTGAGGTTGCGGAGGAAAGAGCTGTGCATGCCACGGGGCCTGTCTGGCCCCCCAGGTTAGGAGGTGGTCCTGAGCTGTGGGGCTGGTGCTGCCCCATCTCCAGGGTCGAAGCAAGAGTCAACTGCCAGGCCGACTTCTGGGTCAGGTAGGAGGGCTGTCCTTTTGTCCTTTCTCTCAGCCAGCAAAAGGTCTTGGGTCAGCCTGAAAAGCGGGAACGTATATTGAATAAAGCCCACTTGCTTTGAGAATGCTGTACACCTCCAGTTGCTTCCACATAGGCAGTTAATCTGGGGCCACCCTCCTTTGTCACTGTGCCTTGCAAAACACCACGTTTGTACAAGGACAAAAGGGAAATCAGAAAGGAGAACGAAGTAGCAACGACTCCCAGTGCCAGAGCAAAGCAGGAAGTGACTCATTCAGAGGCAATTAAGAGTGGCGCCAGGTGGGATGGGTGGCCCTAAAGCCACCCCACTGCCGTTTTTCTCCTCCTTTTTTTTTTTTAAGTTTTATTAAAATTTTAAACTGATACAAAAAACATCAAACATCACATTCATCGGATTTACTGGCTCAACCCCCTACTACATATTTTTTAACATTCTATAGTCAAATTCAAATCAGTTTATAATAACTTGAAAACATCTCTAAATTTACGCCAAGTCCCGTTTCTCCAGCCAATTATAGAAAAAATCCCAAGTTTGATAGAAGTCACTGTCCTCTTTCTCCTTCAATGATAAAGTCAGTCTATCCATTTTTGCGCAGTCCAAAATCTTCCTTAAAATCAATTCATCAGTGGGTAGCTCCTCACTTTTCCAGTATTGAGCAAATACAATCCTTGCTGCTGTGATTAGGTGTAACATCAAATGTATTTCCTGTCTGTTAGTGTCTTCCAGTATGATGCCTAACAAGAAAACTTCAGGTTTAAAAGCAAAGGGTTTTTGTAGTATTTCCTCCATCCATTTATGTATTTTAATCCAATACTTTTTTGCATTATCACAAGTCCACCACATATGATAGAAAGTACCCACTTTATGTTTACATTTCCAACATCTGTTTGACATATTTGGAAACATCTTAGCTAATCGACTTGGTGACAAATACCATCTATAGAACATTTTATATCAATTTTCTTTATACGAAGTTGCTAACGTTACCTTAATATTTCTTTCCCATAGTTTTTGCCACTTTTCTAGTTCAACGTTAAATCCGAAGTTTTGTGCCCATGTTATCGTAGTTTCCTTAACCTGTTCCCGTTCCATTTTCCTGTCAAGTAAAAAATCATATAATTTTTAATAATTTTCTCATCTCTTTTAAGCATCACTTGATCAAACTCTGTTAAGTCTTTGTAAAGCCCCCATGCTTTACAATCTTTAGCATATCTCAATGCATCTGCACCATATACCAGCAGGGGATATTAAGTCCCTGTTCTTGTATGTCTTGATCCAGTTTCAGGCCACCGTCCTTATCCCATTTTTCTCCTCCTTCATGTGCTGCTACGCTGTCCAAGAAAATCAATAAAACAGGCCACGATTGCAAGGTGGAAGCTACAAATTAACATTGCAGGAGATACCCGTGAAGGAGAAGGACAAAGGGACCTTAGCCTTGGCAAGTGGGGCTGCCTGACCATAGAGTGTTGCCCAGGGTGCCAAGTGGGGCTGGAGTCTGCTTTCCACCCCAGATATGGAGGCATCTGCCGGCGTTGGTAAATCCTCATCAGAAAGGAACAGGGATGAACCCCTCAACCTGATCTGCCTAGCTGTGTGTCTTCCGGGTTGCCAAGCAGGTGCGCCTTCCCCGGGGAGGCCCTAATCGGGGCACACAGGCGCCAGCCCTTCCTCCCTGTCCCCCCCACAGCCCACCTGCCCATCTGGTTCAGCTCCTGAAGAGGCTCTTTCGCTATCCTGCCACGTGGCTGAGTTTTTCAGGTCCCCTTTAAGCGATCGAACATCGCATGGCATGAACTCCTATCAATCAGCGAAGTCGGGGACACAGAATTCTTCTTGTCTGCCTTTGGGGAATGACCCCCCAGACCATTCCACTGGGTGCCTTCGTGCCAAAGGCAACCCCGACTCTCCAGTGGTGTTCCACACATGGCGATATCCTCCTATTTTAGTTCCTGGTTTCCTGCTCTCGTGCAGCCTAATGTAAGGCTACTTTAGTGAGCGAGGCCTCCCTTGAGCAGGTAGCCCCCTAATGTGCTGGACTACAATGCACAGCATTCCCCTCTATTGGCCATGCTGGCTGGGAATGATGGGATTTGCCCTCCAGCACATCAGGGTCTACCCAGTTGGAGAAGACTGAGTTACAGCTTGTGTTCTGCTGCAAAATGAGTCCCTCCTGCTTTCAGCCTTGCATTAGAAATGGGCTGCCGTGCACACAAATTGTGTGAGTGAAGCTCAAAGGGCTGCTCAGCATCAGAGCACTGGGACTGGGCCCCAGAGCGGGCAGACACAAAGCCACAAAGGATCACAACACTGCGCCCGTTCTCCTTCCCAGGGCAGCCTCCCGTTTCCTCCAGCCCGGAAAGGACAGAATAGGCCGCATCTACAAGAAAGCTGTCTACAAGCAGTACTTGGATTCCAGCTATAAGTTCGAAGTACCCAAACCAGCCTGGCTGGGATTCCTTGGGCCCATCCTAAGAGCCGAAGTGGGTGACACCCTCGTCGTGCACCTGAAAAATTTTGCCCGGCGGCCGTTCACCATCCATCCACACGGCGTCTTCTATGAGAAGGACTCGGAAGGTTTGTGAGTTTCCCTGCTTTTCTGCCTGCGGACGCATCCGGGGGATGCTGTGCGTGAGGCCCACCTGGGGAATGTGGCAGCCAAGGAGCCCCCGGCCTGCTCCTGCTAAATAAAGGTCAGGGTGGCTCAATGCCATGCAAGCCACACCGTTTCCCTGGGAGCAATTTATAAGCTGCCCTTGGGAGCTTCTAAGCACCCCAGGTGGGCAGGGCTTGTGGCGGGGCTTAGGACACCCTCCATGGCTTACTGCCCCACTGGGACCACCAGGGTCAGGCCAAAGGGTCGCTTCTCTAGAGGCGCAAAGGAGGGCTGCCGCCCCCGCATCGGCACGCGGGCCACCCGGCACCCCGCCTCCCCAGGCCTCTCTTGGTGACCCTGTGCAGGGCAGCAGGGACGAGAAGATTGCTGCACAAGCAGCCTCCTCTTCCTGCCTGTGCCCCACCTGCAGCTTCAGACCGATGGGATGCGTCTTCATTTACTAGGATTCGTGCAATGTCATTGCATGAAAGGATGCCGCGGCTGATTCCTCAAAGCAGCTGGAGCTGAGTGCATGCATGATTCTCTGGCCATTGCAGGGTCCCTGTATCCAGACAAGACCTCGCAGGACCTTAAGAAGGATGACGCCGTCCCACCAGGCGAGAGCCACGTGTATACGTGGACTGTTCCCAAGGACCACGGCCCCACTGCGGATGACCCAGCCTGTCTGACGTGGATCTATCATTCCCACGTCAATGCGCCAAAGGATATTGCCTCGGGCTTAATTGGGCCACTGCTGATATGCAAAGAAGGTGCTGGGAGAATTGCTTGGGCTCTGATATGTTCTCCTGTGCTCTGTTCTCACCAATGATGCAACAAGCCCGGGGCTGAATTGCACACCTCCAGGTTTCTCCAGGCTTAATTTGAAACATGCCTCTAATTCTGAAATCCCAGAGCTGGGAAAGGAAGAGGCATGTCCAAAAGGCAGGACTCTGTCAGAATAAAAGGCCTGCTTTATAATCCAGTATGCCAGTTAAGAAAAAATTCTCCAGCGTGTTGGTTTAGCCTGCAGCCTGCTGCATGGGCAGAAGGAAAGGGTCTGGCTGGAGTGCAGGCTTTTTGTCTAAACATGCATAGCAGCTACTCTCTTCATCTGCCATCTGAATGGGTGGGAGCATAGGAAGCGTGCTCAGGCACATGGGCTTAGGCGGCTCGGCAGTCATCTCTCCGATCAGCACTGGCTTGCCGGGGTTTCAGACCAAGGACTTTCCCAGCCCCATGTGGAGACTCCAAGGAGTGAGCCTGGAGCCCTTTGCACATAGAGTCAGGCCGACTTGGCCATCGTGTTCCCTCTCCCAGAATGTCCACATCGGGGCTCTTCCTGAGGTCAGTTGCAGGGTGGCAGAGCCGCCACACCCCTCGGCTTCCTATGGAACATCCTGGCCCCAGTGGGGAAGCCAACGCACCCCTCCTCCTGATGCCACTTTCCAACCAAGACGACCTTGGTGCAAGAGGCTTGCTCCCATGTGGGCTTCCTCTCTGTGGCCCGTTTCTGGTGGGAACGACACAACCTCTTGCTGTGGCTTCCATGCTTGGATAGCAGCAGCATCCTGACATGCATCACTTTGGGCAAACTGGATCTAAAATCCAAAAAGAGCCCCGAAATGCTAGGAAGAGGCTCCGGCAGAAGGGATGCTGCTCGCCGTTGCCAAGACCAGAAACTAGGCTGGGCAGGCTGGTTTTGTGGGTGGAAATGTGTTATCCTGCTGGCAAGAGAGGCCCTCTCATGCTGGGGGATGTTCAGGTGACGCACATCCTCACTCGTGTCCTTTCCTGGCCCAGGAACCCTGAAAAGCCTTTCTCAAAGCCGCCATGACATGGATCTCGATTTCTTTTTGATGTTCAGCGTGACTGACGAGAATGAAAGCTGGTACCTCGAGGAGAACGTTGCCAGCTTCTGCAAAGAGCCGGACTCTGTTGATGTGGAGGACGAGGCATTCAAGGAGAGCAACAGGATGCACGGTGGGTCCTCCATCCTTGATATCCCAGTGAAGGTGGCTGTTGTGAATCCAGTCTGGATTTCAGGGAGGCTGTTATTAGAAATGGCAGAGGTGAATTTGGGCTGCCGGCTGTGAGGAGCTTGGTGATGAATCCCATCTCCCACCTTAACCAATCAGTGCAAACCTCTCACATGCAACAAGAACATTGAAGTAGGTGCCATGCTAACTTTTATTTATGAAATCGTAAATTATCTTGCATAATCAAGTATTTTCCCTCTACTCTGTTCAGCCAATAAAACAATGTTGATAGGCTATTAAACTGTTGCAGAAAACGTTTTGACTGCTGCTGTGATTGGTGTTTCTGCAGGAATTAATGGTTTTGTGTTTGGGAACCTACCTGAGATGACCATGTGTGCCGGGGATCATGTATCGTGGCACCTCTTTGGGATGGGCAATGAGATTGACGTCCACACGGCCTTCTTCCACGGACAGACCCTCATCATCCGAGGCCACAGAAGCGACGTGGCCAGCGTCTTCCCCGCAACTTTCGTGGCAGCCGAAATGATCCCGCACAACATTGGGAAGTGGCTGCTGAGTTGCGAGGTCCATGATCACCTGCAAGGTGAGTCTCCCTGCCACGCTGGCCGCGCCGTCGGCGCCATCTTCCCTGACGGCTGTGGGAAGCCGGTGTACGGCCCTCTGAGCCTTTCCTTCCTGCTTCACGGAATGTTGGCAGGCAGGCAATTTGGTGCCCTCCAAACATTTTGGACTACAAGCCCCATCAGCCCCAGCCAGCATGGCCAATGGGCAAGGATGGGGCGAAGTGCAGTCCAAAAGTCAGGGTGATGGTTGTTTGCTCATCCCTGGACTAAATTTCACTCAGGGGGCCTGGTTTTGTGTGTTCCCTGAGGCCTGAGGCAGGGCAGGGAGGGGAGGCGCAAAATTTTTGAAAGGCCACGAAAACCGAACAAGTAACGCTGGCAATTTCAAAGGTCGCCATTGAAAGGCGACGTGCTCTGCGTGCGGCCCAACTCGGCTGGTGGAGAGAGGCTCGTCTGCCCTCCCCGTGTCCTGCCAAGCCCCTTTCCCTCGTTTGTTTTGAAATACGTTTTATTTGAAATGATAATCCTAAAAAAAACAAAGACAAAAAGAAAACTACAAACAACATCCATTATCAAAAACATCGAGCCCGCTGGGTCAGCCCCCACACCCTTCTTTCTCCATTTATGATGATTTAGAAACATATTTAAATCTAAGCCAAGTCCCGTTTTTCTAGCCAATGATAAAAAGAGTCCTGAGTTTGACAGAAGTCCGCTGAGCCCCTTTCTCCATCAGAGAGGCGCAGAATGCCGCTCCTCTTGGCACGGAGGAAGGCCAAACGAGCAGGGGCACTTCGGAGCTACTGGCACCGGCGCTCACCTGCCCTCGGCTTGCCCAGCACAGCAAGGGGGTCTGGCTGGCTGCTTGGCACTCGCCCACCATGGCCCTGTTGGCCAGGTCAGGACGTGACCACGCTCCGTGGGTGACAGCAGCCCTAGAAGCAGCCCACAGCCATGCAAGGGGGGCTTTTTTTTTCTTTTTAACAAGCTACCCTTGGTGAAGTGACCCCTCCTTACACAGCATCATGATTCACCTTCCATAATCATAGAATCATAGAAGAGCAGAGCTGGGAGGCCATGGAGTCCCCCCCGCTGCTGGTGCAGGACACCACGTCGCACCGTCCCACTCAGGTGGCTGCCCAGCTTCTTTCTGAGTGTCTCCAGTGTGGGAGAGCCCCCCACCTCTCCGGGCAGCTGGTCCCACTGCTGTACAATAAACAAGGCTGGGCAGTTGAGTCAGCTGAACCACGTCTCTGGCTATTGCTGTCCCTTCCATGCTTTCTGCAGCGGGGATGGAGGCGCTGTACCGAGTCAAGAACTGCTCCTATCAAAACCCGGAGCCTGCCCTGAAAGGGAAGCTTCGGAAATATTACATAGCAGCAAAGGATATCCAGTGGAATTATGGACCCACGGGACTCGACCAGAGCACTGGGAAAAGCCTGCAGGAGCCAAACAGGTAGGAGAATCTTCTTCTTCTTCTTTTTAATTTGCTAAGTGGACTGAAATGGGGTTTGTGGGCAGCAGTGGCTGAAGAGAAAAACAGCCTCCTCTTCCAGGCAGGGGGCAGCTGCTTGTTTCGAGTACGTGACGTGCTCCAGGTGTGGCACCTGCGGGTGATGTGGCCAACCTGGATGCCTCCCTGGGCCTCAGCACCTGTCCACAGAGCGCTGGCAGCAGGTGGAAGGGGGTCTCCTTGCTCCTCCTCTTCTTTTCATGGAGGCTTTGGAGCCCAGCTGAGCATCTCAGGCTGTCTGTGACTCCACCAGCCTCTGTCTGATTCTGGGCCAGGAGGGCAGGCGGCAACCCTCTGCTCAGATGCAGGGCGGAGGGTGTGTCCTGACTGCTCCGTGGCTTGGGATGGACTGGATCTGGAAAGACTCCTCCCCTGTCATCGCCCTGCAGGCGTGTGGAGCAGGAATTCCCATTATGGAGTGGTCACTGACACACCCGGATGTCGCCCTGCAGCTGACAGCTGCACCACATATCGAATTAGAATGCAAGGGGCCAGGAGTGCCTGGTGAGAGATAATGGCCAGCTGCATGTCTTCAGTCGGTGCAGGATTATTACCTTCTAGAGTTCTGTCTGCTGTCACAAGATGGGATGCTGCATCTTAGCCTATGTGACAACGGCCTGGCGTGGCAATGGCGAATTTCCCCATGGGGCTTGTCATTGCTGTGATGGCCACCATTTTGAAGATTTCAGGTGTGATGGGAGACATGTCACAGCTTTTCATTCCATCTGAACTTGGCAAGAGTCTTTGACAAGACACCCACAACTCTAAAACAGCCCATGGGTTGTCCACCACCCAAGCGACCCACCCTCAGCAAGTCATTCTTGTAATGACAACCCTTGTAATGACAACTCATGGTGTGTCCCCTCTTCATAGCTCAAATATTCAAAATGGCGGCCTCTGTGTTAGGAGACACCACTGGGACATTCACCCCTAGTGGCTCCTTGCAAACCAGACCAGCAAACACAACTAGACCAATTCAGGGAGGAGGAGAGATTGATCCATCATTATTTATGTTTATATTGTAATGGGACTACTGAAAATACTGGAACATTCAAAAAGTCTTTTGGGAACTCCTTTCTCCATGTTCTGGATGTGGGTGGGCATGGGGAACATGGTCTTGCCTATGTCCACCTGTTGCATTCAGGGTTCAGGAAATGGGTGAACAGGTTGTGGGTTGCGCTGTTTCTCTCTTCAAAAGCAAGAGCATAAACATGGAGGGGAGGGCTGAGCTGGGCAGCTGAACAGCAGAAGAGCTGCAAACTCCAGCTCCGTATTGCAATGAAATATTTTCAGTCAACTGTGGAATCAAAGCCCTCACGTAGCACTTTGCAGGTTCGGGCAGAGAAACATTCGTGCATACCCTTGTAAACACTGGAGAATGAATTTTTAATAGGCTGCCGGAGAACAGATCGAGCGGGTCTGTTCTGGCATCCCAAACTCTGTTCGTGCTGCACAGCTCCCCAGAGGTCCAGCTTTTGCAGCTGCAGGAAAGAGAGGGGCCAACTCTGCATCCGGCTTGCAGCTCGCTGTTTCATTCTCCTCTTCCTGCTCCACGTTCTTCTGCGGTTTCATTGCGGTGACTGAATGGGGTGCTTTTTGCAAGCAGCTTCCATGGGTGTTGTCAAGGTTTCTTCCTTCAAGGCTGCTATTCTGCGTGAGCTTTTAGGTGCTTTCCTTTTAGATCAAAGGAAATAGTTTGGGTTCCTCATACTGAACCATGACCAGCTTGCTCAACAAGCCGTAGGACTGATTTTGGTTTCCTGCCAGAGTGTTATAAAATATTGACATGCTCCGTACATACTTTCCTGTAGAAAGTCCTCCTCTTGGTCCAGGTCTGCTTTGTGGTTCAGGATGAAAAAAGTACCGTGGTCCTTGACAAACATGGATTTGCAAATGTAGTAACAAAAAAGGGCGCAAAGTGTGAATGTTGTGAAAGGTTATGCAGTGCCGTCCAAAAAGCAAAGCAAAACAAACCCATGCATGTTTGTGCTTAGTTTTTCTGAGCAGTTTTTTAAGAAGAGTTCTGTTCGGATTGGGGGAACATACTGGAAAGCAAAATATGTTGAATATACAGATGAAACTTTTCGGGTGGAGAAAGATCAGGTGGAAGAAGAGAAACATCTTGGGATACTTGGTAAGATGGCAAAATTTAATTTCCGCTCCAGCAGGGATTGATTATTTATTTATTATCCTTAACTTATTATCATCTTACTTTGCTAGGCAATGTACAAGCAATCAATTTAGAACAATTGTAAAATGTGTATCCATATAATGCAATCACAAGCATCACAACCCTAAAATAGAAAGAACAACCAGAAGTTCTAGTCTAGATCTAAATGGAGAGTAACATCATCCGTCATCACAATCTCACAGGGTAAAAACACGTCCCTAGCAACCATGAATGCAAGAAGTAAATTATCAAATCTAGTTTTAAAACAGGGGCAACGCATTAAGTTTTGAGAGTTCCTGCTTTCTGTCCCAGGGGAACAGTTACAAACACTGCGGTAATGAAGAAAGATATGCAAGGAAAAATTAAGTAGCAATGCATCACTCGTCTCTCAATGGGAAGCCATGAAAAGGCAGGAAATACAAGCAGGAGATGTTAAAGTTACCCACACAGAAGTCCTGCAAAGCTGCACTGAGGGTTTGCCAGCCTGTGTCCGAATAGTTCCACAGAGGCATTTTCCCAGTGAAAGGCAAGAGGGAAGTGTTGGGGAAGCAAGAATGCAGGGCATTTCCACACAAAGGAAAGGAATCACAGAAAATGTCAGGATGGAAGGTTTCCCGGTTGCAGCCCTGTCTTCCCCCAGCGAGGACGAACGCCATAGGTTCACAACCCTGTGTTGTTCCCAGAGGGGTGGTGGGCACGGCACGTCCCGCTGCAGGACGGCGGAGAGCACCACCCCACAGCAAACGAACAATCAAATTAATGAGGGATGTCTTCCATGAAAGGAACTGTAAAGCCTCTTCAGCCAGCTTTAATCCCCTTACATTCTGTGCCCTCCAAAGGAATCAGACGAAGCTTTGCAAGGGAGCTGGGCAGCATTTTATCTCTGGTGTCCTTGGTGCGGCAACAAAGACTTCCTGGCGCATCCCCGCCCCCGCTCTTGCTTAGCCATATAAGATTTCACGGATTGCTGTTGAAACTGACCCCGCAAGGTTGCCATAGTGAACGCGTTAGCCTTCAAGCTGGCACAAGCGCTTTCTGATGTGCTTGCGGCCTTCCTGGGAGGGGTTGTCCTAGTGTTGCCCCCACCCACTCAGTTCTCTCTTCCCACAGGGCCAGTGATCAAGGCTGAAGTGGGAGACAGCATCCAGGTCACGTTTGCAAACAAAGCGTCTTGGCCATTCAGCATCCAGCCCCACGGGGTGCTTTATCGGAAGGAGTGGGAAGGAACGCCGTACCACGACGGTTTGTCCTTCCTCGTGCATTTCCATTTTAACCTCCCTTCGGTGATCAAATCTCAGTCACATAAAACGTGCGAGCTGAGGCTAAACAACTCAAGGAAAGAGAAGAGAAGGGGTGGGAAGTGGCCCTTCGCTCCGTTTTTTCAAAAAAAGGCTTGGCAATAAAAGGCGAGGCTCATCGTGGCTTTCGATTGATTGAGGGTGCACGCATATTTGGAATATGGTGTACAGCTCTTCAACAAAGAACCACGATGTGTTTTCAATTTAATTTATTTTATTTGTAAGCCATTCTGAGAACTTGTGTACAAGGCGGCATATAAATGGCGGGAATGGATGTATAAATAAATATGATGCCACCACAAAGGTAACGAAAAGGGAAGCCAGCACTGTTAGGGAGACGGAGAACCTTCCACAGGAGAAGGCATGCATGGCTTAGAAGCAGGACAATGGGGTTTTATGCGATTAGGGATGGTAGAGCAAAGGCAGATGGTTGAAAAGCCAGAATACTGTCCAGCAGCCGCAGCTGCCTGGGATGCTCAGAAGGGGTTGGAGGGAGATGTTGAGCTCAGTGTGGACTCAGGTGCTGCCCGGGTCTGGAGGTGCCCGTTGGTGATGATGGGCACACACTGCGCACTGGTCTGTTTTGGAAGTGCCCCGATGGGTCTGGGAGCAACCCAAGAAAACGTCCGCTCATTCAGCTTGGGAGGGCCTCGCCCTGGTCAAAGAGGCCAAGAGAGCTTTCTGAGGGACATGAAGCAAAAGTATAAGAACCGTGACTTTTTCATGGTGTTTTTGCCTCACCCGTGCTCTGAGCGAACGTGAAGCTCTCGCAAATGCAGACTTGTGAATAGATGCACACATCGTGTAACCTCTCTTGCGCTTTCAAGGATCGTCCAGGAGTGGAGCGGTTGTCCATCCTCGGGAGAGCTTCACGTACCACTGGATGGTACCGCAGCACGTTGGGCCAACAGCCACGGACCCGCCTTGCCTGACGTGGATGTACTCTTCCGCGGTGGATCCCACCCAAGACACCAATTCTGGCCTGGTGGGCCCCTTGCTCGTCTGTCGGCCTGGAACCCTCAACGAAAGAAACCAGCAGGTGCCACTTGTCGTCCCGTCATGCTCATGCCCAGTCTGGGCAGAAGGGAGTGGGGAGCCCAGGTGCTGGAGAGCTGAGCTCCGGCTGTGGTGCCACCACTGGCAAAACTGCCCATGCTCGAGGCCTGGGCTTCCCATCTCCACTTGCGGCTGGGGTTAGAGGCACTCTGCCCCTTTTCTCCTACTTTAATTCAGAGGCAGCCTCACGCTTTTGCAATATGCAGAGGAGAAGAGGCTCCCAGGAAACAAATCCCAGCTCTTGGTGCTTTCAAAACTCCAGCGATTCAGTCTTCGGTTGCTTTCCCTCCCTCCTTTCAAACCGCTGGGGGGCTGGTATTCTCCTCTTGCATGCACCGCTCAGCTCTTTTAATCCAGGCTCCACAAAAAGGGGTTGCATGGAAGCAGGGCGGCTGCTCAGTGAGCTTGTTTCGCTGCTGCCTCAGCCCTTGGCATCAAGTCATTTCCCCTGAGAGGATCGGGAAGTGCAGAGACAGGCACAGTGGTGTTTATTTGAACGCTAAATCACTTTTATTACTAGAAAAGAAAAAAAATAGGCCGCATCAGGACTCCCACATCCCTCTACGGGCATGATGCACAAACGTTTCCCTTTTGCATAGGACATTGGTGGCATGGGAAAAAGCACCTCGCTTACTCAAATATGCACACACACACAAACGTAGAGAGATTGAGAAGAGGCAGCATGAGTTTTCGGTGGCTGTTATGTGCTGCCAACTTGTCTCTGGTGTGCAGTGACCCCCATGAGTGAGAGCCCTCCAGAAAGTCCTTGGCAGCCCTCTCAGCTCTTGCATGCTCGAGGCTGCGGCTTCCTTCACGAAACAGGTCTCTTTCCAAGCTGGTCCTCCTCTTCTCCTGTCCTCTCCACACGTCTTGCCTTCTCAAGATGCACTTGACAGCGAATGGGGCATTTCAACGCGCAGCTTTCAGTACCAAAAACTGAAGAAAGAACAGCGACAACTTAGTGTGGGAGAAGTGAGAAATGGCCCAGTGGACATGCGGAAGGTCCCCAGTTCAACCCCAAACGCCTCTAGGTGGGGCTGGGAAGAAATCTGGCCTGGCACCCCAGAGAACGGCCGCCAACCGTCCGTGTCAGCAGGAACGAGCTAAATGGTTTTCCCCCTGGGAAAGCAGCTTCCTTGCCATCAGAGTGCGAATGAGTCGCTAGTCTAGTGCCGCTTAATAGGCAAGCCGAAGTTGGTTGACATCGGCTGAGCTCTGACTAGCCGTACGTTGATACCCAGCAGTGATGGCCAACCGAACAATGACGGAGGAGGACCTCTTTCTGGGCTCGCCCCTCATTCCCTGAGCACCGCTGGTACCGAATATCTTTTGTGGCTTAAATCCATCTACTTTAGGGCAGGGGTCCAGCTGTGATTCTTTTACCTGAGCAAACAGCGGCGGGTTGGGGGGGGGTGCTTTTCAGCAGGGAGCTGGTGTTGAGCCCCATCAGATGGGGTGCACTTTTGGGTCGCTCCCTCCTCCGCTGCAGGAGCGAAATAAGGGGGCCAGCTGAAGCACATTTCCAAAAAGCGTGAATAGCACGACGTGTGCTTTGGCCCACAGCTGGTTTTAAATGCACACCTACACGGATAGCTCTTTTAGCCATGATCCCTACATTGAACCTCCATGTCCAGGAGCAGTATACTGATAAATAGCAGTGGTTGGGGGTGCAGTAACCCATGAGACACTGTTGCTCTCATGTCTCAGTTATGGGCTTTCCAGAGAGAGGCGTTTGATGGGAAACAAAGCGCTGAAGCAGGAAGTGCCCTTGCTCCGATCCTACGAGGCTTTCCTGACCTCCATATCTGGTTGGCCCCTCTTTTTAAGCAGGACATGTTTCTTTTTTGAATTCTGAGGCACCTGAATGTGGTTCTCCAGAAACAATTTCTTCATTTCACCATTTCTGGGTAAAGATAAGAACGTGGTCTGGAGACTCACCAAGTGATCTGGTAGCACACAGGAACTGGAATATTTCAAAACCCTGACATCTTGTTCTTGTCCTCACAGAAAGGTGTTGACAAGGAATTTTATCTCTTGTTCAATGTGTTTAATGAAAACCTAAGCCGGTATCTGCAGGCAAATTTGAATTATTTGAAATACTCCTCAAGGCAAGGTGATACATTTGAGGATCAAGCCTTCAAGGAATCCAACAGGAGACACGGTATGTCTTTACACCCACCCTAGAAAAATTATCTTGGATGATTTAGGATTAATCACAGAGATTCAACATTGCTGAGCTGGATACAAATATTTGAAATATTTGAGCAGGAGAGGTTGGTGGAAATGGGAAAGGAACTAATTCAAGCTCAGCCATCCTCAACATAGCGCCCTCCTGACCTTCAGAGAAAGACTCACAGCATTCCAGATTATTGGTTGATAGGAGTTGAAGTTCAGCAATCTGGAAGGTACCAGGTTGGGGTAGATTTCTAGATGTCTTAGGTTTAGGCTCCTGGCATGCTGGGAGGAGAAGCCCAGTGTTTCTGGAGGTGGATTTTCTGCCCAGTCCTGGGCTGAAAGCACGGATTGGATCCTTCCCAACCTCCAGCCTGAAATCCTCTTGGTGTCGGCCACTGAAATTGGCAAGAACTGGAGAAATCCCTGGGAGCAAACCAAAGGCCTACCTGACCCAGCATTGTGTCCCTTGGGAGTGCTGCTCTCAGCAAGCATTCCTGGGGAGCCCGTGGGCAGGCCTTGCGAATGAGGGCTGTCCCACCTGTTGCTCCTTGGAGCCGCTTTTCCTCAGCAGTGCCCCAGGTGCCTCCCCGGTAGCTAGGAATGCGCTCTGCTGGCGGTGCTGAGAACAGCGGGTTCATAGGAGTCCTTGGTGTGTTGCGGCCTCAAACGCCCCCGTCACCCGTCCTTTGCCATGCCCCCCGCAGCTGTCCCCGGGACCATTTCCCGGATGGCTGCCTGTGCCCTTGTCCCACGCAGCCTTCCCAGAGCTGGTGCGCCAGATGTGTTGGACAATGACTCCTGTAAACCCGGCCAGCACGGCCACTGGTCCAGCCCCTCCTGAAGCCACTGAATGAGCGGCCATCCCCCTTTCTGTGGCAGCAGGTTCCGTGAAACACGCCCCGTGCAAGGAAGAGCTGGATGGCGATGCACGGACAGAGTGCCTTCCAGAGATACGTCCCTGGGTGCCACTGTCTGAGGACCAGCAACAGGCTTGGGGCTTAAAACAGGCAAGCCAGAAATGAGCCCATGGCAACCCTACAAACACAGGAGGGAAAACGCGGCTGTCGTATGGGATCTTGTGGATAACTGGGTCGGTTTTGCTTCTCTTAAAGCCATTAATGGATTCATGTTCAGCAACTTGCCCCTTCCGGATGTGTGCCAGGGCGAAACTGTTTCCTGGCACCTCCTGGGCCTTGGCAGCGAGGCCGACATCCATGGAGTTGCTTTCCAGGGAAATACCGTCTTGATGAATGGGATGAGACGAAGTGGGACTCATCTCTTTCCGCACACCTTCGCCACAGCCCTGATGCAACCAGATCACGAAGGTAATGCTGATCTCTGTGAGCGGCTCACCTCTCCGTAAGATTCTTACCTCTTGCAGCTGTTTCCAGAAGGTGGCCAGAACACCTAAAGCAGTGGGGTCTCCACATTTGTATTAGTATTGTTCATATTATTATTTCCATGCCATCTGGTACTGGGAACGCAGCTGTGGCTGGCAACATCTGGTCGACACCCGGATGTTGCCCAGCTGCATCTCCACTCCCTAGAAACCCCGGAGAACTTTTGAAATGTTTTCAGAATATTTGTTAGTTTCAAATAAAATGAAAGATAGCCAGACTAAGGTACTGGCAGAAGTTGAAGCAATATCAATCTCAAACAATTGGGAAGCCTTGCGAAGCAAACGAAAGGCCAAGAGCGTGAGAAGTTCCCACAACAGGTGGGGAAGCCCTGGTGACTTCTCATGCACATGACGGAGGCATGCCATTATTTGTTTTTTGGCACCAGGCTAAGACCTTTTTATTTAAACAATATTTTAACAATGTTTCATATTATCTATAGGTTTTAATTTGCAGCCAGAATGAATTGGGTTTTTAAGTGGTATAATTTGTATTTTTTGTATGATGTTTGTTTGTTTATGTAAGCCGTCCCGAGGCGTTAAGCGATGGGGCGGCACACAAAAACTCTAAATAAATGAATAAATAAATGCCAGCCTTGCACCAGCACAGTCTACCCCAACTGGTCACTGTCCAGATGTGCTGGACTACAGCCCCCATCATCCACAGTGGGCGCCCAGGATGGGGGTTGCAGTTCAACCCAACTGGAAGGTCCCAGGCTGGGGAAGGACGCTCTAGTATAGTTCTGGTGGGAGGAATTATTGCCACGCTCCGTCTCGCAGCTCTGTCTGTGCTCCCCGGCAGGGACCTTTGAGGTGTATTGTCAGACCGGAAACCACTACCAGTCCGGGATGAGGGGCCTTTTCTCGGTGCGCCAGTGTGGGAGGAAGGGGGCCCGGCTGCACGGCCAACGCTATGAGCGGGTGAGGACCTTCTACGTCATGGCAGAGGAGGTGGACTGGGACTACTCTCCGGGTCGCAGCTGGGAGCTGGAAAGGTACAACAGCTCCGCAGAGGACAGGTACGGGGCCGGCCGCCTCAGAAGGGAACCCTTGCGGCTCATTTCCTTGCACTGGAATGGGAGTCCGGCTGAGCCTTCCCTGCCCCAACCTCTCTAAAGTCTTCTCTAAAATTGCCCTGTAAGGGAAGGCCATCCTGTCCTCATGGCTGCACTTTGGGGAGGGGGCAAACACACTGGACTGGGTTCGGGTGAGGGCAGGCGAAGGGAAGAGGTCCCTGTTGGTTATGCAAGTCAAAACACCGCTGGCTTCTTAAGGTATTTTGTGCTGATACTGCTCCATCTCTCATACTAAACCCCAACTGGCTGGCATTTTGTAATTTTTCAGTTTCAGGTTCTGATGGGACAATCCTGGGCAAATTTAGAGGGGGAAAAGCGCACAATTCTTTGCGCAAAGCATGCAACACCCCCCCCCCTTGGCAAGAGGGGTTGAGGAAGTGCAACCCCTCTTGCAAAGCAGGCATGCAGGCCCCGTGTGGGCCAGCTGCCTCGGGGGCTCACGTGCACTCGCTTCCTGGCAGACACCCACACAACCACTTGGCTGACACAGAGTGAGGGAGCCAGTGGCCCAGAGTCCAGGAGCCCAGCTGGGGAAATTCCCACACCGAACCGGGTTCCTCAGACATCCCTAATCCAGACTGCCTCCCAGTCAAGCTGCACGTCTTCCTGGTGGGCCTCCATCCCAGCGTGGTCCAACCCTCCAGAAGCCAGGCTCCCCTGAGGCAAAATCTGTCCTGATCAAGGAGATGGGTTGTGTCCGGGGTGGTGGGTTGTGTCGCTATTGCCAACAGAGCATCATTAATGCAAAGGGGAACTTTGAAACCGGCAGCTATGGCGAAGTGTTTCTCAGTGGTGAGAATGGACTCCTCGGCTCCCGCTACAAGAAAGCTGTTTACCGGGAATATACTGATGGGACATTCAGGACCCGGAAGAGCAGGATCAATGGCGAGGAGCACCTTGGGATCCTGGGTAAGCATTTGCACCGGCTGGCGCTGCATCACTCCCCCTTGACCACGTCCTCGCATGTGCCACAGAACGTGCTGCTCAACCTGCCTGGCTGCTAGAGGGGACAGCGCCCTTCCATGCTCCACAGGAGCAGCCATGTCGGCTGCTGCTGCATGTGAGACTGAGCACATCCCCAAGAGCGAGGGAATGTTCCTGGGGAGCATTAAAAAGAAGCGGGGTCCCTCGCCTTCACTCTCCAGTCTCTTCTGCAACGTCTGGCAGTGCCTTCTCTTGCACATGTAACCCGGACCTTAAGCCTCATCACTTGAATTATCACCCAGATCATGTCCTTCACTCCAGTATTTAAATGACTGGAGTAGCGAGTGGGGACATCCCGTCACTGGGACAGCGGATGTAGGCAGTAGCGTGGAGATTCTCCCTCTGCTCTGCCAGGTTTTGGAAGGGCCTCTCTATTCTGTCAGGGCAGGCATCCCCGAAATTACTCCGGAAGGGCGTGATGGAGCACGGCTCTGCACTGTGTCGCGTGGGCAGAGCCGCATCCCTGGGAGCCCTGGATCTTCCCCTGCAGCGCTGTCTTTCTCCCACATTGAAGAAAACCCACAGTATAACATTCAAACGTGCATGCCTCCAGCTGCAGGGGGAGTGCATGCAGCGCACGTGCACTTTTTTCACACGGACACATGCATGCACGCCTGCCCGGATTTTCAAAATGTGCATCGTCGCTTTCAAGAGTGCAGCGTTTTGGTCCTTCCACTGCAGCGGTTCTGCTCTCTTTGTGCCCTGAAGGTCTTCTTTCCTGTCTCTAGGTCCCTTTCTTTGGGCGGAAGTGGGGGATGTCCTGAACATTGTGTTTCGGAACAATGCTACCCGGCCTTATTCCATTCATGCCCATGGAGTGATGGAGAAGAGCAAGGGTGCGCCCGAAGCAGCGATGCCTGGTAGGTCTACACTCCTGCGATGGCCACGAGGTGCCTCGTCCAGGCTCACTGAATGCGTGAGGAGCAAGCATCCCTCGTGAGCCGGCTGGGCTGCCATCGCCTCTGTGCTTGAGGGAAGGAGGCCCTGCACTGGCGAGTCCTGCGACACGTAGCAATTTTCTTCTGTCTAAACAGGCAAAGGGCGTCACTCATACAAAATTTAGCCCGTCATTTTCTTACAATCCGAGTGGCTTCTGGTACAACCTGGCTCCGTGTTTCCTTTGCAGCTGGCGTTTCAGGAGTATCCTGTCCAGGGGAGAGAGGCCTTGCAGCTTTTCTTTCAAGCTTAACGGGAGCTCTCCATGGTGCTGAGCGCCACCCATGCAAGTTCGCTGCACTGGAGCACCAGGGAGAGCTCCTGGAAGGCTGCAAGGGATGGGGCGCCTTGATGGCGTGGGCAGCCCCTGACCCCGCCCCCCCCCAGCCCGGTGGGTGAGATTTCGCTTCGCAATTGCACGACGGTGCAATGAAACAGAAGCCCTGATCCAGTCAGGGGCCAAGTTCCATTCATCTCACTTGATAGCTGTTCTGCACATCGCTTTAAAACTGGTTGTGTTAGAATTGCCCACTGTGTGTGTGTGTGTGTGTGCGCGCGTGCGCGCGCATGCACATATATTTATTTTATTTATTTAGAAGGCTTCTATGCTGCCCCATTCGCCGAAGCCTCGGGGCGGCTCACAACATAAATAACTTCAATTAAAGTAATATAAATTGACAGTATAAAATAAGTCACCCTGGCCAAAGAATAAAATAAATAAATACTATTAACAGTTAAAATGACGTTTGAATAGAAAGGTCTTTGCCTGGCACCGAAAAACAAATAACGACGGCGCCAGGCGGACCTCTCTGGGGAGCGCATTCCATAGATTCCATATATGTGTGTGGGGGGGGAGCCGTGAGAGGGACTTATTTTCCTCGACTCTCTCTCTCTCGCTCTTCCTTTCTCAGGTGAAATTGTAACATATCGGTGGGATGTCCCTGAAAGATCTGGTCCGGGACCAAATGATTCTGCCTGCGTGTCTTGGATCTACTACTCCAGAGTGGACCCTGTGAAGGTTGGCTGTTTGCCTCGCTCTTGGGTGGCAAGAGCTGCTGCCAGGATCACGACACACCCCCCCCCCCTTCAGAGTAGGCCTACGTACATTTGCACAAGCACTTGCTGGCTGCCCTCACCCTGCTGCACTCAAAGGGAGGCAGCTCCCTGGTGGACCCTGCCCGCCTGCTTCCCCTTCAACTTCCCCTGCATGTGGGGATGGCTAGGCAAATGGTGGGCACGTCCCCGGTGGCCGACCATGACATGTAAACTGGACACTGGCCTGCTGATCCCTGGGCAAGCCAGAGCCATAAGCCAAGCGCAAACCGCGGCTTCTGACCTTGGCTTGTTGGGTTGGAGGGGAGGAACGAGTCCGGTTCGCATCACGAGATGCAACCCATGAATAGAAGGTCTGCAGCTTGTTTCGCCAGTGCTTTCCAGTGCTTTCCATGTTGTTGTTTCAGTGAAGGAAGCCTGGAATTTCAGACTTTCAGATTTCAAGAAGCCTAAACAACAGCTTCGTGCATTCTTGAAAATCCACTCTCACGCAGGGCTACTTTTATCCGATTAACATAATATATAGAAAAGCAGGAAAATACAAGCCCCCAGAAAAAGCTCTGTGTGGAGGTCAAATTTTTCTCTTCCTGAAACAAAATCCAAAGAAGAAAGCGGATTAAGCCTCTCACGGAGAGAAGCTCTGTTTGTGTTGGCAAAGTCACACCTGGGCAAGGCATGTGCAAATGGTTGTTACATAAACAAGAGCTCTGTTCCAAGTATACTTTGTCGAACATCCCAGGTTTTCTGGTTTGCAGGCTGTGTCCCCTATAAAGCCTTGAAAATTGCATTCCAGTGTGACTGGACAATACAAACTGGAATGCACCTTGACGGTGTGTCTCTCGCCTGTAGACCCTGATGCTGCAGGTCTTTTGCTGCTCCCAGAGCGAGGCCTAATCAGGTGACCCAACGCAGCTACTCTGCCTTTTGCTTCTTGACCTGTCTCCTGGGGAAAGAAAACAGACCGACACAGGAGTGAGAAACACCAGCGGGTTATAGGCAGAAGCACTAGCTCACCGGCCCCTGCAGACTTCTGTGAAACGGGCAAGGTGATCGTACAGGCCAAGCCTCGCCTGGAAGCACCTCTCCTTCCAGGGAGGGGCAAGGCCTGCAGGAGAACGTCCTGGGCCTGTTACCGAAAGTGAGCGTGTAGGAATGAAGGCGGGGTGGCAAAGGGAACCAGCCAAAATGCGATGGGGTGGGTGGTTTTCAGTGAGGATCCACAATGTGGAAATAGATCCTGGGGCTGACCCCCCACGTGCTGCAGCATCCGTGTCGAGTCCTCTGGCATGCAAGTCTCCAGCGAAACGTTTTCACTGTTGCCTGCAATTCCCCCCCAGGATCTGTTTAGTGGCCTCGTCGGTCCCCTGAAAGTCTGCCGGAAGGGAACCCTGGATTTTGATGGGAGAAGGAAAGGCGTAAGCAGGGAGTTTGCACTCCTCTTCCTGGTTTTTGATGAAAACCAGTCCTGGTACCTGGAGGAGAATGTGAAAAAATATGCAGAAGGGAATTGGAACCATTCCCGTCGCCAGGATGAAGAATTTGTGGAAAGCAACAAAATGCACGGTACTTGGTTTCTGTCTCCACATTCAGCAATATCACCTTTCTGTGCTGCCCCTGCAGTTGGCAAAGAATTGTGCAGAACCTTCTCAGCGGAAAAGCAGGCCTGTCTCAGAATCCTCTGCTTTTTTTAGCTGCTTTTTAGCTGCTTCACATCTGGGCAACACTTTCCTTGTGGATGGGCGGTTGGCCCCTCATACTTGCCCATTTAGCGCTGGGCTCCCTCATTCATTTCAGGCAAGGCTCCACTCTGGTTATCGCTAAGCACAAAACGAAAACCTCTGGGTGGCCGTTTCCATGCAATCAGACCCTGCAAGGCTGGGATCCACCTAGCTGAGTCAGCTGGGGAGTCCCAGGCAGAAAACTGGCTGGGGAGGTCCGGGGCGCCCTGTCTTCATACGCAGGACCGTTCTCGGTCCAAAGCGTCTCTCTCGGAAAGGCCTCTCCGGCCTTGTGGTGCAACCTCTCTGGCACGACGAAAACAACTCGCAAGGTTCTCTCTCTGGGGCAAACAGACGGAGCAGTGCTCCTTGGTGAGAGTGGCAGCTGTTTTCTGCCACACTTGTCGACCGGCCGTTCTGTTTTCCGGCCTGGCCAGGTGCAAAACCCCCAGGGTTGCTTACTGCCCTGCCACCAGCTCCAGTCCAGAAACAGAGATGGGATGGGGTGTGAGACGGACAGAGCCTCATCTGGATAGGACAGAGCGGCACACCATAATCGCCTGCGGTGTTCAGCCTCTGGACGAGCCGCCATCACCCTCAGGCCATCACTTCTGTCACAGGCAGAAATCCACCGGGGAAGCTGTGCCCCTTCCAGCATGCACTGTGGGAGTTTCTGCCTGCCACACAGCTGGGCACGGCGCACCCTTCTGCCCACAAAGGCATGGAAATCACAGCAACTGGAGTGCTGCACAAACCAGAGCAGGAGCAGAGAGTCCATGTTTTCAATACATTGTCCTCCCTCCCTCCTGCAGCCATCAATGGTAAACTGTATGCAAACCTGCCCGGGCTGACAATGCATGAAGGAGACTTGGTGAACTGGTATCTGCTGGGAATGGGCCAGGAGATTGACATGCACACGGTTCATTTCCATGCTGAGACATTCATATACCAGGTAGGCCTCTCCCATTATCGCCCAACATCCATGTGTCCCTGTGGGATTCTGGCTGGGGCAGCGAGGCACGTTCTCTGCATGGTGAGGAGCACGGGGGTTCTTGATGTGACTGGCTCTGTCTTTGCAATTTGAAGAAGAACCCCTTCGGCAGATTTTCAGAGAACTCGGCTGCAGGGCCCACGTGCCTGCCTCTTTTCTCACACTGACCACGGTGAGCAGAAGCAGGATCCAACAGGCGCGCCTGTGCAACGGCAGAGCGTTTCCTTCTGCAGCTTCCCTGCTTCTGACGGGGCACAGAATGGCTGCTCTTGGCTGAGAATGCAGCTCTCCTGGGCGCGGCAAGCCACCAAAGAGCAGCCTTAGCCAGGGATGGACCACTAACTAATCCCCCATCTTAGCCAGGGACGGACCACTAACTAATCCCCATTCTGTGGCAGAATGGCAAGAGCTACAGGGCAGATGTGGCGGACCTCTTCCCAGGCACCTTTGAAATGGTGGAGATGCTGGCCAGCAATCCCGGCACGTGGCTGCTCCACTGCCACGTGGCTGACCACATCCACGCTGGCATGGAGGCGCTTTTCACCATCCTACCCAGAGCAGGAAAGGGGACCACTGACGGTGAGTGCGGGCTGATTTGGGGCGTCCAGAGAGTCTCCTTTCATGCCAGCTAAGAACGAGCTACTAATTTATAACCGTTTTCTTTCAGAGATAATGCTTTTGAACAACAGTCCTGGCACAGGTACGGTATACCCTTTTATCATGGGCTCATGGCCCGCTCAAGTTGGCGGGAGGCCGTTTCTGATCTGAACCCCAGTGAGCTTCCTGTTCTGTCCATCCTTGCTTTCACAATCTCTGTGAAGTTCCCCTCCTGGTCCAGTGCAGGCAGGAGTCTGGCTCCCTGCAGATCCCCGTCTGCAAGTCCTTTCCCTGATTAAGGGGAACATGTAGTCTTGCACCTTTCTTTGACCCTGTACAATATTTGGAGGGATTTCTCCACTTTTGCAAAATAGCTAGGGTCTTACACCGAAAAGAGAGCAAGGGTTTTGCCGCTCCTGGTCTTGAGTTCCTTAAACATCTTTGTTTCCTATTTCCAAAGTTTGACTTTTCCATCATTTTTGCTTCCCAGGGAGGTCTCCTGAAGAGGAAGAAATTTCCCATTATACCCTTCTGTTTGGCAGAAAACTGGAACATGGGCAAGTTGAGGCCACGGTCATTTTCCTTGCAGTGGTGGGGATTGTGCTGTTTCTCACGGCCAGCACCCTCCTGGGTGTGCTCATTCACCTCCAGAGGCAAAGGAGGCTGCGACGCAACAGGAGGTCCATTCTGGACGAAAGCTTCAAGCTCATGTCCATGAAGAAGCATGAGTTTTAGAAGGAAGTGGAAGGGCCTTTTTGTGGCATTTGGACCACGACGGGGGAAAGATCCCGGAGGCCATTTCGAGGGTGGAGGGAACCTGATGGAGGCAACGATGCTGCTCCCAGCAGAAGTGTCCAAGAAGAGGCATTCCCAGCAGCTCCCCCTTTTCCCCCAGTGACACCTCTTTGTAGCCTTCATGGTTTGGTGTGACAGGAGTCACGGGAATGCCCTCAAGCTCCCCAGGCCTGCTGCCGCTGTCCATGGTGGCTTGTAGAAGACAGAACTGCAGGCAGTTCCAGCTTGGTCCTTCATGCAAAAGCCCAGAACCCTCCTGGTCCTGTGGACTCCAGAGGACCGGTCCAGAACCACTGTGTGACAGAAAGTGCCACCGCAGTGATGCTCCTACGATTTGCAGCAGGGGAGGCCACCTGCTTCTTCCGCCTCCAACCTGCTGGCCTGAGACGGTCTACTCAACTTCTTCCCACCCCGGGGTGCCCAACTGAACGTTTCAGACTGCTGGAGAGGAGCGGCTGGTGTGAGGAAGGCCCTTCTTGGCCACAGGGTTGGGTTTGAAAGGCAAGACTCGCGAAACTCATGTCCCCACCACCAGCTGTTCTCCTTGCTCGGCTCGGCCCTCCTCACCTCACACCCCTCCTAGCTGTGGCCGGGCAAGGCTTGCTTCCCGGAGGGAAAGAAGCCCAGGTTCTCCTTCGGAGGATTGGCGTCAGAGTTGCCATTGCCCTGAGCCCTGGGGGAGCTGAACTGAGAGGCCAAGGAGTTCAGCCAACAGCTCGCCCCCCACTGGCACCCCGTAAAGCCATTCCCCTCCGGGAAGGACTGCAACAGAAAAGGCAGACAAGCGCAGCGGCCCAAACAGTTCCGCAGAAATCATCGACATAATCATATTTGCTTGCCGGGCACCTTACAGAACTCTGGAATGTTCCTCGGCATAAACAGCAGATGATTTGCTCTCGCACGCATCCCTCAATATTAGAATAAATCTTTTCCGCTTTTGATTAAATTCTCAGTGATCACCGAGGAGCGGCCTGGCAGGAAGCCCGACCACCTCATGCATATGGAGCCCAGTCGGGGAGAACGGCCTCGGCAGGGCCGCTAACTCAATCAGCAGCCGCGGAAGACGTCGGGCAGTGCTGCTGTATAATTAAGAGTGCAGGGCTGCGGGGGGAAGGGTCATGCGCAGAAATAATTCAGAGCAGCGCATGAGCTGCAGCGCAGCATGGCTGGCTTAATGGAGCACACGGGCTGCTCAAGGGGATGCGAGAACAGAAAGTCGGAGCCATTTGATACAAATAGTTTAAGCTGCAGATTAGCCTTTGTTGGACTCAATTACCGGCTACCCAGGAAAACAACTTTGCTGGGTTTCCATTTTTTACCCATTCGTTATGCAGCTGAGGTCCTATTAGCCGGGAGCCCAGTGTTAAGCAGGACGGCTTTTTGAATGAGCTCTTTACATCCACCAAGATGGCCGAATGAGCACCGACGGCTGTAGCAGACACACCGGACACAAGCCGCCCGGCAGAGGCCCGGCTCCATTCCCCTGCAGGAGCCTCCAGATCCAGTCCAAAGGGGGAAGAGAGTAGACATGACCTCAGTTTCCCCACGGGAATGCCTGGTCTGACAGCCCCTCACACTGGCCATGTGCTCCCTGCTCCATCAGCCTTTTAAATGCATGTCAGCTGAGCCCCAAAACCACTGTCAGATCCAGGAGCGCCCCTAGTTTCAAGCCTTCAGGGAGGGTGCAGCCCCCATCCAGGATGGGTCCTATGCTTATGCTCAGATCACCACACCCCCAACAACCAGTGCACCTGTCTTGAACTTCCCTGCCAGCCACCACCTGAGAGCCACCTGTGCTGTAGCAGCATCACAACTCAGCCCCCCGTGGTGGATTTCATTGGGCACCAGTGGGGAGCTGGGGGGAAGTGCCCTTCCCAAACCCTCACGGAGCTTGTCCTGCTGCTTTTGCGAAAGACCCTGCAGCCGCCCTCTTGGGGAAAAGAACAATATCGCTTTGACCGGCTGCACATGTGTTTGATGAGATCTCCTTGCCCTCCATTGTACCCTTTCCAAACTGTACAGCATGACATTCGTGAGTCATGAGAGCAAATGAATTGCAGGCATTAAAACAAACAAACAAACATTAGTTGCCTTGACATCAGCACGTGTGATTCTCAAGCTGCAGACAATTCAGATGGAGTCTGGCCTCGATTTAGGAAGGCTGCCTCTGAGCAAATCTGCAGATCTGCAGAAATCTCAGAAGTTAAGAAGGTGAGATTTGGGGGAACAAGCAGAGCAAATCTCGGTTTCTGGCTCACCCGCTTGAATACCTTTCCAGCAAGTCGTGTTGGTCCCCAGCGTTGTCTTCTTGTTCGGAGCATCCCTCAGGGGTGAAGAGCCGCAGCCGCTCTCTGCGAAGGCAGCCCTTTGACTCACCTGTTCGGGGGCCTTTCTTTCCCCTGTGCACAGAGACGTTGGGGCAGCCCCTGAGGATCTGCTCCACCCAGCCTCTTCCAGAGGATCTTCACTTCTCACCAGCCCTGTGAGGTAGGCTAGGCTGAAGCTTGGCGAACAGACCAAGAGGGTCCCTAGCGAGCTTCACGGCTGACTGGTGAGGAATTTTGCACCTGGCTGTCCGCAGCCTTGGCCTGACACTCAAACTGCTGCACCAGTTTGGTTTCCTTAATCAGATACATCCCACAAGTCAAGGCACTGTTACAGTGGCAAGCCAGCCTAAGCCAAGCGTAGCCGCCCTAGGATTGAAGGTCCCAGTAATGGAGGCTCTTCGCCCCCAGTAAGCTTTGGGCTACTGCAAAGGCTGTACCCCCAAGCTCCGGAGAGGGCATTGAACAATGGCTGCCTTCGCAGTGCCCTGTTTTGCTTTGTTTTTCCGATTTATATCCTGCCTTTTTCCTACAAAGGGCTCAAGGCAGCTTACATCATTCTCCTCCTCCATGTTATCTCCACAACAACAACAACCCTGTGAGGCAGGTTGGGCTGAGAGTCTGTGACTGGCCCAGAGTCACCCAGTTGGCTCCTTGGCCGAGCGGGGACTCGAACCCGGATCGCCTGAGTCCCAGTCCCATGCTCCTAACCACTATACCACACTGCCTCTCTGTTTGGAAGGAAGCAAGTTTGGGCCAGATCCCTGACCCTTTTCTCCATGTTTTGGCAGCACCCAGGAGAGCTCTGGGCTATACATGAGTTGACCTGGCCATCGATCCAATTTGAGATGTTTATATAAGAAGTGAGCCAACCAATTAAAGGCAGATGATTGGATATTGATTCTCAGGAGACACTGTCAGGCAAATTGTGTCTGTCCACTATCCAAATGGGGCAGAGTGCCAAGCCCTGGCTATTTATTGGCTAATTACTTCCAGGTTCTATCTATGGTTGATTATAGGAAAACACACACCACAGTTCGTCTTGATTTTTTTCCCATCTGCGGTTAGCAGGCGACATCAGAAATAACCGTTCGAGCTGAGCTCGTGTCCTCGTTAGTCAGGTCAGGGCATCTTTTAAATGATTGGAGGACCATTACTTGCCCTGCTGCCTCAAGGCTCAGTCAGGTATTATCTTTCAGATTTGAGGGCAGATTGAGGAAGGCAGTACAGGAACGTGTGGGACCACATTCTGGGTGCTGTCCTGACGAAATTGCCATGGGCTGGATGCAATCGTCTTGGGGGGGCCGTGGTGTGGGCCCCCTTTCTCACGCCTAGTCACCTGCTGAATGTGCTGAATGAAGCCAAGGCCTTCCTGATGAATGGGCCCCAAGTCGCAGAGCCGGTGGCAAATCCAGCTTCAGTCAGACAGAGCCTTCCTGCTCTCTGAACTTGCCTGTTCCGGGAAGAGAGAACAGCAGAGAGCACTGGCCGTGGATGTGCCCTGCCTGACTTCTCAAGAACCATGCTCCGAAGTCCCGAGGGTCGAGAGCTTTGGTAAGGCCATCTATTGTGGTTAGGCACTAGGACTACTGTCTCCAAAGATGCACCTCTCGTATCTCCCTCTTACCACCCCAGCATGTTCTTTATTATTATTATTATTACATTTTTATACTGCCCATAGCCAAAGCTCTCTAGGCAGTTGACAGCAATAATCATAGAATCATACCCTCAAGTCACCCATCCCACTTCTGCCCAGGCCTGACCCTGCTCAGCTTCCAAGATTAGGCACTTCAGGCTACATGGAAGCTATATGGAGAGCTTGGGTAATAAGAGATCAATATTTGCCAACAGACTGCCTGGTCTTTGGATCCCTCCAAACGGCTAACAAAGCTCTGGGAAGGACTGGGTTTGGTCGACTTCAGAAAAGTTCTGCTTCAGTTTGGGGATCTCTTGAATCTTTCCAAATCAATCTGGGATCAAAGCACAGTCCAACAGAAATCTAAACACTGTAGCAGTACCTCTTGAGGTTCTCCCTGTTTGAGAAGGTCAAGAACATGTGCTAATATTTCCTTTCGGAAGACTCCCAACACATTTCTGGGTTCATTTGTTTCATCTCTGCTTCATGATGAATTTTCCTGGGTAAACCAAGACAGTAGCAGGTCACCTCTCACATAATCATCACTAGGCTGGGAAAGCGTTTCCACCTTCATATTTTGAAGCCCCAAGTAATGTAATGTACAGCTTGTGAAAGAAGGAAGGCAAGGAAAGAGAAATAATACTGTGGGATCCGTTGGACAGAGTAGGTGTTTCATCAAGGGACAAAAACAGAGAAGGAAAGGTGGGGAGCTGGGTAGCTGAGCTAAGGACGTTCAAAGCAACCTTTCCTTCAAGCACCTGTCAAGGGAAACTCTCTGCAGATGCGCATCATGACAGTTGTCCTGCCCTGAAGGCAAGTCCTTGATTGCCTACAGTTGCATGGACATATCAACAAACCGGCTTAGGTGCTTTTCACCCCCACCAGTGGCAGGTCTGTAGTAAAGCCAGTGGGTCCCATTCGAGACCAAACCACCCCAAAACACTTTCCGTTATGACCAGGAACACATAGAAAATGAAATC